TCTGAGTATACATTTTTACATTATTGATCATCAGACAGTAGCACATAAAATTGCTTTTTAAACTATAGGATAATGCTAAACAACTATTTATAAGTACCATTTCAAAAAGGTAGATTTCCCAGTGCATTCCTTGAGTTATAGGACAACTTACTAAGAAAATGTATTCATATAAATTTGCTCCAAATTTTGGGTTTGTTAGGCCTATTAAGTCATAATAACCTCTATTTGAATTTTTATTTAAATAGACTTGTTTTGCTAAATTTACTATGGGTAGTGTTTGGATTGCTTCAGCTGTTGGCAACTCAGAAATACGCACAAATTTCTCATTTATTACATTATAATTCTTCACCTGAACTAAACAGCATCATATTCATAATCTCTCCCTCTATTAAACACAATAGAGTGAAACACTAAGGTGTTTTTATAGGAAAATATTTAACATTTACATGATAAAAATCTCAGTGTTTAATATTTTGATATAAAAAATTACTTGAGACTACAGTAAAAAGGAAAAATGTATCTCAATGGCTCAATATTCAAACCATCTTTTGAGTAAGGTTTGACTGTGTACTCAAGTTTCTTAAAAGTCTTAATATATTAAAAAATATTTTCCCTGCATTTTCAGTGTGGTAGAAATTGAGTATATTGATAATTGTGATTGTTCAAATTCTACACCAAGAAATTAAGTTCCTTACTTTTAGTATATAACTGAAAAAAAATACTAATATGGAGATGTTCTGATAGTAACAGAAAATGTTTCAAATACATTAAGAAACATCCCTATATAACTACTTTAATTTCTCTGTTATGCCACAAAACCAAACTATGCAAATAAAGCCCATCAGAGCTCTACCAATCTAAAAGTTGTTATAAATTACAGTATTTTATCTCGTTTTTTTTCCCTTTCACCTTTTTGTTTTACTCATGTGGGTTTAAGAGTTTTGTATTGTTTTTTCATCTTGTGTTTATTTAAATATTTTCTGGAAATAAGTTTGTCACCTCTGGAGAATATTTACCTTTTTTCAGGCTATTTGTTGGACTGAACCATTACTGTACAGGTATTTTCCAGTAAAATTACAAAACCATTAGATCCTTTCAAGAGACTTAACCCTTAAGATTCAATTACTATATTTCCATAACTATTACTATAAAATAAATAACAAAAGATTTGCCTCATTCAATGGTCTGATAATTTTAAGTGATTCCTAATAAAGTAGGATAAAAAGTTCAGATAGTCTCTTTGCATTTTTGATAGCAATCTGACTTGCAATATTTGCACTTTTGTGAAAAATGAGTGACTGAGCTCACATTTCTCACTGACTTGTTCACTTTTTCTCAGCTGATAAATGAGCAGAGAAAAACAGAGAAAGCCAGTTATCATTAAATCTGCACTGGTTTCATCAACGTACCCCAAAATTGAAGACTGACAGATTTGTGTTAGGACGAACCCAGATCAGCTAACTCTCTGAATTTCTTTGGTAGTACAGACCTGTTCCTAAGAGTGAATACTCTTTTTCTCCCTCTAAGCTTTTAGGTTGTAAATTTAAAACACACACACACACACTTAAAACGTCAACAGTGACAACTGAAATAAAGTTGTGGCCTTTTTACACAGTTCAAAAACTACTACCAGCTCAGTTAAAATTGCAGATTTATTACACTGGGATTGTGTCCAGCCATGGCCATTTTGGGTACACGAAGTTACAGATTCAAAGCCAAAGGGTCTTAGAGATTTTAAATGGTCCTTTCATATGACACACCATGAAGTCATTTAATGGAAGTTAAGGGATACTGTTCAAAACATTCACCTCACTAATAAGTAATTTTCAAAAACCCGGAACTGTATGTCAGCTGTACTGCTAGTTCTGCACTTAGTTCAAACACAATTATTCCTTTTTTATCATCATTTGTACTTATTTATAAATATTAAAGCATATGATAAGATCAGTATAAGCTTGCTCTTTCCTAATTTATCAACATATTGGAAAGGGTTTAGATTTACTCTAGTTGTTAAAAAATAAGTATTTTCATTTCGCAAACGCACTGGGGTAATTTAAACGTTTTTGAAAATACGATGTGCAGCCAGACCCTAGTTCACATACACGTGACCAGCAGATGCCCTTCCCGGGGAAATGTTTGCCTCGGAACTGCTGCTTCCTCAGCTGGGTCCTGCAGACCTGGCACTTCCCTCCTGGCCCATCCTCTACTTCCCATTTCATGCCAGTGACAACCCAAAGAATAGGTAAGTGGGAACAGGAAAGGCAAGGGGGCTGTACCGCCCATTCAGACTCCCCCACCCCGCCCACCTTGCAGCTGGTTTCCTGGGCAGCATCCCTGCCCACCTCATCACATGCCCCTTTCTCTTCCTTATCCTTCATGTGCCACTTAAGATTCTGTAACAAACAGTGAGATATTCACTTAATATCTTAGGTCTCTCACAAAACACTGATCTGTCGGCCTTCAGTTGCGGGCCAACACTACCAAGCAGACACAGAGAATTCCTTCTCCGATCTCACCACCAGGGAGCAGCAGGGAAGAAAAAGTGCTGTATCTTTTCTTAAGAGCACGGATTATGGGGCTGGGTGCTGCCACTGCTTCCCCCTCAGAGCACCTGTGGTTAAAATAAGTCGTGGGAGGACGGACCAAGAGAGTGAACACCCACGTAGAGTATTGTTCCTAAGGGCATATATTACTATATCTCAATAATTCAACATACATCTGAACTTCGAGAGCATAATTTTTATTTGGGAACTGCCTGTAGTAAATATACAGAAAACAATGCCACTTTAACAATCCAAGGACCTCTTCGCGTGTTTTCTAAAATGCTCTATTTACCTCCCCCAACATACACACACTTCAAACAACTGGACTTTCTGATTTTTCCTCATTTTTCTCTAATTGTAGACACCGCGGTAAACAGAGCCCTTATCCACAGGAATTCGGAAAACTGAGGTTCTTTTGAGAAACGTTTTCCCAGGCAAATTCCTAATGTACCAATTACACTATTTTGAAACATCTATTCCTCCGCTCAAAAAGAACCCCCTCCAATTTGGATATTTTATATTTAACAAACTTTAAACTGGGAACAGATAGTTTTAGGTTGTTTCACATAAAATCTTGATAAGAAGCAAATTCCTTACATTTATAGCCAAAAGAGTTCCTTTTAAAAAAGATGTTAGTCTGATTTTAAAAACGACTTACAGTAAACAGTAATTCTTGTTTCCATCTGTCCACGCAAGTCTCAATCAAACCTGCACTTAGTAAATTGCAGCTGACCTCCAGTTTTATATTTTAATACATATAAAACTTTATATTAGATATAACATATATATTTAAATTTTCTTAAGATTGTGAACATTACCCTATCAACCCATTTGAAATCACTGTTTTCTCCTGACAACGAAAGCTTCGCAGAAAAGTTGACCGTGACAAGCTACCACCACTCAGTCCGAGAACCCAACACTCCCCTCCGTGTTTCTGCCTGGACCTTGCTCTTTCTGGAAGATTCTAAGGAAGCACAGGTACAGCTTCTGTTTTAATCCTGCCAAAAGGTTTTAAAGGCTAAGTTCTAGGGCTTTCTGAATGCTTCACAGTAGATGTTCCAGGAAAAAGTAACGATAATGACTGCAAGTAATATTCCACATGATATTCTAAAATGAACTTCCTGTGCTCAGAAGTACCAGCTAGACTATTTCATCAAAAGATCCCCGCTAATCAGGAGAACAGATGCCAGAGATGCCAAAATGTGTCCCTGGGAAGCACTGGTTTACAATCTACTTTTTGTGAAAATGTACATTTTGGTAATTTTGATTTGAAAGTAATAATATCAAGGAACGAAAAGACACTAAGATACTGAAGCATTGCGTGAGTTTGGCAGGCAGCAACATTCTCAATTCAGACAGGGCAGAACTATGAAACCTCAATGTTTTAGAGTTCGCTCTTGAAAATCACATTATTTCAACGTCTATAATGTAGATTGATTTTTATTCAGAAATACTTCCATATTCACTAATGGGAGTCCAAAGTTTAAAAACTCAAAAGCGAAAAGAAAATTACAGGGTCTTAGAAGCCTTGTCAAACACTCAACATTGTGACAGTGACATTTAAACCGCAAACCAGCCCTTGTCATTTCCTTATTATCAAATTATTACAACAGGAACACAAATATACCATATATTACCTTAGATTTTGTCTTACAATATGTTCTTGTCAGTGGGACACTGTAAAATGTGTAAACCTGACAGAAAAGCATTTTTAAAATACCTACCATGGAAGAAAAAAATCATCAGAAACACTCCTGTCCTGTATACAGTGTGGAGACGGGAACTAGTACCATAAAAAAGAAACGTTTATTCCATTCTTCTGAGGCGCTCATCCTGAATATTTACACTTACGTCTATTGCTCTTTAAACAGGACTCCTGAAAACAATTTTAGGTTTAAAATAAATATTTTGCTCCTAAGTGACAAATGTGCTCACTTGCAATGTTCCTTTTCACTAATACCTTCTGAATTCCCCGTTTCAGTGGTTGGTTTCTGGGTGCCTCGGCGTGAGGCAGACCCACAGCTTGAAGGAAACCTGTCTCACGGCTGGTACCCCAGACCGAGTGATCACAGCAGCAAGTTCAGCCGCTTTAGGAGTTACCATGGGAACTGGAAACACCCCTAGGATATTGTTATTTGGGGAAAGAGCCCCAGATCTGACATTTTGGAAGCTCCATGTTTTGGAGAAGCAGCCTCAGAAGAAGGAAGAAAGAGGCAGCTCCTTGGCTGACCATTGGATTAGTCCTTACCTTCTGGACTTCCCGCTGTGACAGGCCGTAGGCAACTCTCTCCCCCATTCAGCCTTGTTCTGCCCACTGCAACGGGGGAGGCGTGAGTGAGATGCTAAAACTGACGTCAGGGGATAGGGAGCTAAAACCACAGCAACCTCTGGGAGCCCCACAAATTTGGGCTGTGGTCCTGGGAGAAGAGGTGAAACTCTTCTCTTCTTTCAACCAAAAAAAAAAAAAAAAAAAAAAAGTCCCTTCAAGGCTTCTTTTACTGATAATATAAACTTGATTTTATTTGTTAAAAAATAGAGGTTGAGGTGGAAGAACTCCTAGGAAACAGTAACCGGCCTTGAATTTCCTGGGGAGACCGACCTCTGGAGGGGGGTGGGCAGTCAGCCCCAAACTCCCAAGCCCCCATCCCAGCATCTCAGTCTGAGGACAGGTAATACTGCTGTTGTAAAGACAAAGGCATCCTGCGCTTCCCACCCTGCATTTACACCGCCCGCACTTCCGTCTAGTCCTCCGACGTGCCCTGACTCCTGACCTCCTCCAAAGCACTTCCCTGTTGCTGTCGCAGATTCATCTGTAAAGCACGTACATTAAAACTCAGACTTACTGTTTTTTAACAAAAAAGTGCTTAAACCCACCCTATGCCATTGTTTTTCACTTCATCTTCAACCAATAAAATCAAACTCATTGAAGTTCATGAGTAATACTGAAAAAAAGTGAATCCGATTATTCTCTCTCGTTTTTAAATAATGTGCCTTCATGCCCAGCTTTCCCTTAACTGACTCATTTCCGTACCTTAATGAGTTGAACTCTTGTTCGGAAATACAGAAGGTACAAATATATAGAATTTTTAGGATAAAAAATTTTCTGAATATAAAAATGCCTTCTAAATGTTTCAAAATAACACTTTTAGAGTCTTGTAGTTTGGATTTGAGAACTAAATTGTTAAGTACCCAAGGTTTTTAAAAAATATCAAAAGATAATAACATGGTTTTAAATACAAAGTTACAAAGGAACCACTCATATTGGTGGATTATCCTCAAGGAAAGTTCAGTTTCTCAACAAGAAAACCCCAAACAGTTTAGCCATAAAATAAAAATTCCATTAGCAAAAACCTGTTTTAGATAGAAATCTATGCATGTTAATGATTGCCAGAGTTGCCCAGCAGAGCTTCGGTAAAATACAGAATTGTCTAGAAAACGCAGTCTCCAAGATGTGTGCAAGTGCTGCACGTCGGACAGACCGGAGCAGGGCCAAGCCCTCGGCACCAAGTCCTCCTCCTTCCGCACCTTCCCGGGTGGAAAGTCCCCACGGCCTGTGCTCTGCACACTCCTCCGCGCACCGCGTTCCCACGGCGCCTGTTCACCACGCAGCGTTCTGCGCGGGCGAGTCGAGGGGGAAGTGTGAGTTAGGCACTGCGCCCTTTTCTTACTGTAAACGCTTCACACGGTCAGGTCCCCTTCAGACGCTGTGGGAGCTTATATGAGCCTGGAGCTTTTCAGAAACTGGATGAGAACTCTGTACACGAACGTGTACTGGACCAGGGTCTGCACCAGCATCATCCTCTGCTGCCTCAGCATGTCCAGCACCCTTGGGATGTCTAGCACCTGGAGTGAGAGAAACGGCGGTGAGGGGGATGCACTCCCGGGAGAGAGAAGGGGGCGGGAGAGTTGGTGTACCAGCAGAAATCTGGTTAGCGGGGCCGGAGACGGCAGCCTCCTGACCTGTCTGCCTTCACACCTTCTGCATATTTAAAAACAAAACAAGGACCTTTTGGCTCTCTGAGCATCACCACGGTGGTGGCCAAGAACAAGGGCCTTACAAAAGGCAGCAAAGGGAGCCAGGAAGAAACTGGTCAATCCATTTGCTAAGAAAGACTGTTTGATGTGAAGGTATCAGCTACGTCAATACAAGAAATATTGGGAAAACACCAGTCACGAAAATTCGAGGAACCAAAATCGCATCTGATGGTCTCAAGGGTCATGTTTCTGAAGTGGGCCTCCTGGTCTGTGGAATGATGTAAGTGCATTTAGAAAATTCAAGCTAATTACTGAAGATGTTCTGAGCAAACTCCACCCGACTAACTTCCATGGCTTGGATCTTACCCGTGGCAAAATGTGCTCCGTGGTCAAAAAATGGCAGACCAGGACTGAAGTTCAAGTTCATGTCCAGATACCCATGGTATTTTTACTTCATCTATTCTGTAGTGGCTTTACTAAAAAACACACCATCCGATTCAGAAGGCTGCTTGCTTATGCTCAGCATTAGCAGGTCCCAGGGCCCTCAAACCCGGAACATGATGATGGAAATCATGACCCGAGAGGTACAGACATGTGACTTGAAAAAAGGAGTCAATAGATTGATCCCAGAGAGCAGTGGAGAAGACACAGAAAAGTTTTGCTGATCTATTTATCAGCTCCATGATGCCTTTGTTAGAAAAGTCAAAATGCGGAAGACGCCCAAGTCTGAACTGGGAAACCTCGTGGAGATTCATGGTGAAGGAGGCAGTTCTGGAAAAGCTGCTGGGGACGAGACAGGTGCGCATGTGGAATGAGCTGATGGACAGGAGGGGCCCCCACTCAACAAACCTGTTTGAAACTGAGCCTTTTATGGGTGACAAATAAAAAGATCCTACTTGTGGGGAAAATAAAAACAAAACAAAAAACTAAGGAGCTTCATTCAGAAAGGGCTGTTAGGCCACGAGGCCCTCCTCTTCCCCAGACTTCTCCCCCCACCAAAAAAGGAGTCAGCACCTCATTGTGTTCCAGGCAGGCAATCATGATCTCCGACAAAATGACGACACCAGTCCTTCCCACCCCGGCACTGCAATGGACCAGCAACGGCGGGTTGGGGCTTTTTGGTTCACTGGTGCTATTTGTGTGGCGTCGAACAGACTGGATCTCTTCAAGGTATGCTGGGAGAGATCAACGAAACGGAAAAATACTCAGGATTTAAGGCAAATGAAACCGATGCTTCTCAGATTATGTCCACAGATGGAGTGGACTCCAGGCAAAGAGCGCCGGCTGCCCGTTGCCAAGCCCCTCCGCTCACCGCCCCTGCGGCTTCGCTGAGTCGCCAACTCCGCCTGGGCTTCCATCTCCTCATCTGCAAAATGCAGCGGAGGAAAAACTCCCCAAGACTCACTCACAGCATTTTGCTCACTACCAATGTATGCTTAAAAACCTCCCATTAAGCCTCCTCTAAACTCTTAAAGTCTTTCTTTAAAACGAGTCTGAAGTTTATGTAAGACAACACGGAGGACGTGTTTCAGGAACGTCAGTCACCCCTCGGTGGCTGACGCAACAGCCCCGGCGGAGGCTGTGCTGGGGACGGCGACACTCACATAAAAAGCCCTTGAGGTCCTCCGGGCAGCCGTGCTCGGGCCAGTCTGTGTACTGCAGGTGCCAAACCGTCCGCTCCTGCCCCGTGAGCAGGTGCTTCATCTTCAAGCCGGTGGTGGCGTAGCAGCCGGAGTCCGTGCGGAAGCGGGTTGTGATCTTAAACCTTCCGTAGGTGACAGTATTGTGCCTGGAACCCAGTCGCGGCCAGTACCTAAAGCTCTTCTCCCTCCCGCCCTCCTGTGGAAGACAAGTACACAGTCAGAACGCAGCACAAGATCCGGCGCCGCCTGCCCCGCCCCACAGCCCGCACGTCTGAAATTCAGCGTCACCATCCCCACCCGCCTCGTTCTCGAAAGGTCAGGATTCCCCCCATGATTAACACTGACTTTTCATCTGAGGCTGAGAAAAATCGATGAAGAGAAATGAGGACTGACCTCCTCTGCTGTCAGCATCGCTATGATCGCAATTCCCTGTTCCCACACCATCTGCCAAAAGTCCTGACACGTGTTCTGTAAGGGCCCCTGTGTGGCGATATAGTCCCATTCAATTCCGCTGACAGAGACCTAGGATGAGAAGAGACTGAAAAAATTAGTATGTGTATATGTACAAGACATGCATGTACATAGGCACGTGTGTACGTTTGTTTGTGGTGATACCAAAAAGTGAACTAAGTTTTTCAGAATAAAGAAAGGCTTTCATCTAATTCTTTTTCCTTCTTAGTACAACTTCCATTACTGATGTCTTCATAAACTTACGCACTGAATTCATGTAGCGTCTATGTGACCTGGAGCAATTCACTTAACCTCTCTGTATGTCAGTTCCCATGCTAAAATAAATTATCTACCCTCATGGGGTTGTTACTGGAGCTCAGTCAGTCAATACATACGGTGCCTTGAACATAATCGGTATTCAGTACGTACTTGTTATTGCTGTTGCTGTGGTTCTTCTCATAAAATCAAGTATCAACATCACAGTCTCCCAAATTTCAAACAAAATTTCCCCTTACGAGGAACTCAACATACCAGAAAAAGTATTAGCTATTAAGCCAAAACCTAAGTTAAATGTCAGATTTCTAGGAGAAAATAATCTTCCGACATAAGGAAGCCTCACCGCTGACCTGAGTGGAGATCGCCCTCCACAGTGACACTAAGTTTCCCCTTCAGATTTGCCCTCCGGGAGAACAGTCTGCACTGATCGTTAATGCAGTCAGGAGATCTACGCTAAAGCTCAGCAGCGCGCGTCCTTACCGACCGCAGTGGCTTTCCTGAGCGCCCACCGAACGTGGAGCCCGGGCCAGGCGCTGTTCTGCCCACGCCCTCCCTAAGGCCACCCGGCCCTGGTCACAACCCGCAGCCTCTCACGCGGGCGCCGTGGGTGGCACCAGTTACACAGCAAACAAGAACCAGGGAGCAGGGTCTGACGGGAGCCTCAGGGGAAGGTGTCGGCATTTCTTTATTTGGAGCTAAACACCAGGACGCCCCACACGGGACAGTGTGTAGAAGCTCCAACTCCACCATTCTTCAGGCTGCCTCTGAAGACTCTGAAACACCACCATGAAACTATAATACAACACTGTTCGATTCTTATCCATCCGAACAGGAAGGACTGAATGAGTTTTTCCAAAGAAATGCCTGCTTTGTAGGAAGATTGTGCTGTGTTAAGAAGCACGTGCACAGATCGCCAGGGACCACCAAGGAAGGGCACTGCCGTTCACAGGCAGGTCGCCAGGTCTCTAGAAAGCCTCGTGTGTGAAACTGCTCTCATCACAAATCACTTGCAAACTAACTAAAATGTGGGAAAAGAAAAACAACACCTGACCATAGGTACGAACTCATTCAAGCGCTAGAAGGAAATTTCTCCTCCCACAGTAAGGAACGGACCCCCCCCCCCCCCCCCCCCCCCCGCCAGCAGAACGCCATATGCAGCAATGGAGACGGCAGAGCGGCTGGCTCCCCTCACTCCCTGCTGTGAACCATCCCTCTTCCCATTTTAACGGTGCAACGTTACCCCAGTGAAGTGGCATGATACTATTTCCAGGAAAAAAGTGGCGCTACTTCTTCAAAGGACAAAATAATGTTTAAAAGTGATCACAGTGAGTAGGCAAAGAGAACGAATGGCACCACCGTGGGAAAAAGCTCTGGTGAAAACACCAAAAACCCAAAGACTTCTGTTACATAAAAATGCACGTAGGTTTGTCATGAGAAAAAAATCAATTCTAGTTTGTAAATTCTCTCAGAAGCACGTGAAAGAAATCTTCAGATTTAGAACGGGACAGTTCTAACGTTGGACAAGTAAAGGCTTCAAATCCTACAAACACTGCTGGGGCAGAGTTGTTCACCACGTGCATGGAGAGAGCAAACATGACTTTGGCTCTGTTGATAGACACTTTCTATCCAGCCCTGATGTGTGGACTTTCTAACTAACAGGATGAAACTGGTTCATAACTAGCGTATTTTTAGAATACAAACATGAGTATAATCCCAACAGCCTTGTAACTTCACTCAAAACTTCATGTCCCGTTTACTATTCTAAATGTTCCTCTCACCTTAATATGTGATGCGTTGATATAACCAGTGTTGTTTTCTTTGGTTGGGACCAACTCCACTCTGGCATCGTCATAGGGAAGCACATCTTGGAATCGATTTCTTTCTGCATTTTCAGGGAGTCGTGCCGTTGAGCATTCGCCGTTAACCAGACGTTTTTTAAGAATTCTTTCGTATTCTGTGAATACCATTCCCTGTTCTAACCGCTGTTCCAGAATTTTACACTGTAAAATAGAATATGTGGAATAATATGAATATAGTCACATGCTGCAGCTGCACTTTGATTTTACATTTGAAATCTTGTTTTCTGTTTAAAGTCTAGCATTATCTAATACTGAAACCAAAGTTAAACTTTTACCAAGCCACAACAATAACAAATGAAGTAATCTTATTGGTAAGAGATAAATGCAAAGTTCTGTTTAAAGGTGAAAAATGGCCTAAAGCAACCTGTCGAATTCATTTTCTCTAAATTTATGGTCAGTTTCGTGACTCCCATGAAAGAGAAAATTCTCCTGGAGAATAATAAATCCTAGAATGGGATAATCAATTCTAACATCTGTTAACAAATGCTTCAATTTTATAATCTATAATTATATTAAAAACTGAAAATAATAGTAAATACTGGAAACCATTTCCAGGATCCAGTTGTAAGCAAATTAATCCTTGCTTAGCATAATTCATGCCTGTCTTGGTCACAAAGGAAGTTTTGAAAAATTCATTAATCGCCTACCACTGAGGTAAACTTTCAGTACAGCGAAAGCACCCAATGTCTGCTTTCTTTCCTGTGTGCACTCATGTGCATTTGCAGATTCCCTCTGGCTTTAAGGCCATCAAAAATCGAGGCTGCCACAGGGGGCTGGGAGAAGGTAAAGAACAACATGGGGGGGGGGGAGGGGGAAGAGAACATTCTAGTCAGAAATGATCTATGAAGACAGTAGCTATAAATCTGCCCCTATTTTAAAGTCCAGATTACAAAATTCCTTACCACTCATGTACTAAACGTGTTAGGAAAGTTACTGTGACCTCAGGAAGCAGCCCTGTCGCAGCTTCCCCACTGTCCCCAAGGGGGCACACAGCTCCGCCGCGTACGTACCCTCTCGTCATTGGTGGCTCTGGCACACACTTCCTTCCCTTCGTCGGGCAGAGGCAGGCGAGACAGCGAGAGGCCATTCAGGGCCGCCAACTTGAGAGGACCCATTTTTTTGGCATCTACTCGGCTCTTTTTCATACCCTAGAAAAATACGGATATGTGTATATGAAATATACACCAGTACAACACCTTTGGAAAGACACCTTCAAAACCGGAGTGAAGGCTGGAAGCTGAGTGAGGAGAAAGCACACTCCTCCCACACACACCCACAGTCGTGGGACAGGCATCGGGAGGAGGGCCTTCCTTTCAAGGCCAAGGCCCTGATACGTCTCCCAGATAGAAGGTGGTTTTGAAATGCAGCTGGTTTCGGGGTGCTGTTGTAATGGAAGGTGAGGCTCCAAGCAGACAGCATTCCCACACCAGAACCCCCAAATTTCAAAACAGGGCAGGCCAAAAAAGTCAGCTGCTGTCCTTAAAAAGGGGCTTTAGTACAATCAGATGATTGCAATAAGCTTTGGTGTTTGTCTTTTTTTTGAAATGGAAATGAGCCCTTTAAATCATTCTGAAGAAAGGAGGTGTCCTCTGTTCCGTCCTACATTGCATTTCAGACTGTGCAGCCTGGACTGGATCACCCCACCTCTCAGAAGGGCCGTGTTTTTAAACCAGGACAGTAAGATGGAGCTGAGAGCTCCATCATGACACCGGGAAGGTCAGGCGTAGGAGAGTGAGCGCATCGACGGAAGCTGGCTCCTGAGAACAGGTGTTCCTGAGCGCATTTTTAAAGCAAATGGCTTTCTTCTCTAAGGCAAATAGCCCAAGAATGCTAAGTGTCCTTGGATGCTCCATACCTCCTTGGAAGCTACAAGTTTATAACAAGAGCAGCCCCATTTTAAAAGAAATGGTTTGCTCAGCTGCCTCATAAATGAAACCAGCTCTACCAGCCTGGGAGGGAGGGAGGGAGTGGGAGGGAGAGAGAAACAGAGGGCGAGAGACTAAAAGGTTGCTGCGCCGGCGAAAATTTTGTTTCTAATGTATGCAAAAAATGGTGAGATGTTTGCAACTGGCTCTCCAGTGGGGGAAGTTCTGATCTGCAAAGTCTGCCAGTTCTTACGGTGCAGATATTCCCACCATGGCCAATTTCAAACTGCCAATGTAACATCGATGGAATCACAGGAGTCCTGATCATTTAACGGTCAGTTCTCACCAGCGAGTACAAGGTTGCTCCACATGCCCCAGCATGGGTATGCAGGATGACGCTGATTGGCCAAAAGGTCAGCTCTAAATCCAGTATTTGAAGAAAGGGGCATATAATCAAAAGCAGCCTCCAATAGCTCTTACTTAGCCCTTAGAGTGCAAGCACATGGTTTTAAATGCGCAACCTGCACAGCGATTTCTTAGATGAGAACCGCCACACAATACTAAGGGTGCAACAAAAAGTAAATCTTTATGTAGCACTCAAACCAGTCCACCTTTCTCAGATAACAATCAAGTCCCTGGAGGTGGAGATGGGTGGAGAATTCTGAAGTGTTCCTGCTTGTCTGCAATTTATTTCACTGTTTTTAATACTAAACCTTAATTCACATTAACGTGTGAACTGAGTTTCTTTGTTGTAACAGTTAAAACAGTATCATGGCAATAGGGTTGAGTTCTTCAATTCTTGGGAAGAAAGTAGGTTAAATGTGGGGATGCAACACACAGTAATAAGTTAAATTTGAGCACTTGCGATGTGCTAGGACCTCACTTTATCCTTCCAACAACTCCCTGAGGTCATCTTCCTTCACAAAAGAGAAAACTGAGAGAGATTAAACAGCTCGTCCAAGGTCACATAGCTGCCTCCTTGTATATATAGATGGTAACTGTGTCAGAACAATAAAAACTACCTTCATTAAAATCTGTTCTGCTGCATCATAGAATTCAGACAGCGTTTTTCCTGGCTTTCCTGATGTAGGCTGTCACACGAAGCCAGAGCGGGCGGAGCAGAGATGACTGTGCCTGTGAGGCAGGGGGAGGAGCCGAGGTTCTGGTGCGGGAAGGGTCTGCCCCACGGAGCAGAGAACTAACAAAAGGGGCAAACTCTGGACTCAGGTGGGTCTTCCGCTCGGGTCCTGCACCTTTCCCCTGGCCACAGCTCCCACGCACAGCTCCTGTGAGGAGAATCCCTTATGGGAAAAGAATGGGAACAGCACGATCCAGTCACCTGGCTTTATTAATACTGTAGGTCTTAAAAGTCAGTGAGAGGGAAAATTTGTTTTTAGAGAACCAAAGTGATCAAAGTCCTCATATTTAGCAGAACTTGCTAGGCCCATGAAAACCGCACAGAGACAGTAGGCTGGAATGCTGGACCGTACTCAAAATGAATATCATCTGGGGAAAAGATCCGGGTCACGTAAATATGATGGATAGTTCCTGATGTAATAAGGGAAGAGTACTAACTGTGAAAGCACAGTTACTTTGGAAGACACATCCACACCCTGTTCCTACCCTCAATCACGGATTATGAGCCCGCATTTTCGGCCAATCTGAGACATTGGCCTTTACTGTTCAGCTAGGAGCGTAAGAATGTACTCCCCCACCCTCCCAAAAAAATTGAAAGTAAACTTAAAATTCAAAACCAAAATTCATTAAAAGACACTTACATCCATAGCACTATTGTAAGGAGCTCTAGTTTATGTATACGTATCCATTTCATCAGCACAATAGTGTGTGAATTTTCTTCCCTACTTATGAAGATGCTTACAGCATCTCAGAGGATCTAAAACTCAAGGCCAGAACCACACCTGCGACGGGCCCTCAGGTCTGAATTTGCAGAGTGTGGCAGAGACGAGGAGTCCCAGCCGCCAGGACAAGGGGAGCAACTGGGAGACAGAACGGAGAGGTCAGCCAATCACGTCAGGCTGGCCAGAGCGCAGGGCGTGGGGAGTGAGGGCACGGGCCACGAGGCAAGGCGACTCAGAGTCGACACACTGAGGTGACAGGGCCACCAATGCCTGGCAAAGCTTGGGGACTCAAAGTTAAAAGAATCTGGTGGAAAGACAGAGAATAGCGAGGCTTAGATAAGCAATTGCTACTTAACGAAATGTTATATATAATATAACTCAATGCAGAACAGTGCCCCAGATAAGAGAACAGGTTGCAGAGATAAACACGGGTTTTAAAATTCCAGTTTAGTCCCTCCCTCGCTGTGTGACCTTGGAAAAGATACTTAATATCTCAGAGACCACCTCCTCATCTGCAGGAACAAGAGGCCTGTTGTAAAGTGGACAAGGTAAAGGAGCTGACATGCTGGGTACGACGTGCCGGGAATGGCCGCTGGAGAGGATGTGCGTTCTTTTAATTTTGCTTCCAAGCAGTAAGACGTGCTTACTTGGTTCATGGTTATTTATTATACTGATTATTAAAGAGCTATACTCTCTGCAAGGGACCTTCCTGGGATTCTCAGTTCATTTAATCTTTCTTTTAAAGAGGCCTGGAGCTTTCCTGACAAAGTGCCATCTTCCCCACTCCAGGATCAGGTTCCAGCCTTCGTCGATGACGGCCCAGCCTCTGAAGCTGTAGCCACACGACTCTGACAGAAAGACACATTAGGAACACTCCGTGGTCGCTGCTCTCAGACTTCACTCGAGCAAACCGGCGACAGAGCAAGCGCAGCCCTGGGCTGCGGCGCCAGCGCCAGGGGTTGTTAACAGGAGGCTCACAGAGCAACTGGGGCTGAAGTCACACGCCCTGAGCTCCCTTTTCCCTCCCACTGCACTGCTGGAGCACCCCATTCATTCTTCCTACCCCTTTCCACAGAGCTTCCAACATTTACACTGTCACCAGCTAATTATCTCCAGGAAGACCACTAAAATCTAATTAATTTCTATTCTTTTGTGTTCAAATAAGACAAAAATATGGTAAAGAGGGTGGAGGGGGTAAAAAAAACCATTAAAACAGAAGCTGGAAACATCAGAAGTAATGAGTCCAAGACAAGACCCCCAGAGGGCAGAAGGTGCCGAGAAAACGCAGGTTGGAGGGTGGCTCAGGGCTGCCTGAGGCCCCCCTGACACCGAACACTCACCCCTAGCGGCGGAAGGCCTTCAACAATGTTCTTCTTTCCTGAGAGGAGGTCGGACACGGGCCTCTTCTTCAGAGAATCCCTCCTGGCCCGGTACCTCCCCGACGTGGTGAGGTCAGACTCAGACATGGAGGGGGTGAGCAGCCCGTCCCTCCTGGGCCGCTGGGCCTCCACTAGCACGTGCACGGGGCTGCCCTCCCTCCCCCTCCTCTCGGCCTCTGCGAGGTGGGACTTGGGCTCAAGGATGTGCAGAGGGCCGACGCCGGGAGCGAGGGAGGCACAGGAGTAGCCCGCCTGCGGCTCTTGGGAGTAACCGCCCCGGGGCTCCCGTGCCCGTGGGGAGAGCACAGCCGGTGCTTTGTTTTCTTCCTCGAAATCCTCCTCCTCTTCGCTGCTGTGTATCAGCATGGTGGCATCTGAAAGAGATTTGTTGTGACCATATCTCAGGCCTTCCTGCTCGGCCGTCTCTCGTTTTGTTCTTTCAGGGAAAACATTTGGCTGGGAGCCCGCTGAGCTAGCCCGCGGGGCCACATCCGCGGCTGAGGCCGACATGGTCCTCTCCTTGAGCCTTATGCCTTCAAAGCTGTGAGTCAGCCCCGCGATCTCGATGCTGTTCCTCTTCTGCAAGTGGGCGTGCCGAGCCACGGTGAGGGGCTCGCTGACCTCCTGCAGGGAGTGAGCCACCGGCAGGCTATCCTCTTGGAACGTCTGGACCGAGTGATGGACGCGCCTGGTGATGAGATCCGGGTTGCTGCTGCTGATGTAGAGGTGGCGGGACAGGTCCGGGGTGCTGTTGGCCGGCCTCGGGTATGGGTAGGGCGGCGGCGGCCGATACACCTGAGTCCTCATGATGTTGGGAGCTGGGTAATCCTGGGCTTGGAGCTGCACGTTGGTCAGCTCGGGCACGCTGACGGCACCCACCACAGGCCGCCTCTCTGTGGGGTAGGGGTACGGAGACTGGCTGTGGAAACTGTAATTCAGGTTGAACGGATAGTGGGCCGACTGGGGAGAGTTAAAATGGGCGTGCTCCCGGATTTCAGGCTGGCTGTAGACCAGAGCGTCGGGCCTGCTGTAAGCGTAGGAGTTGCCGATGTTGAGGTTTCTCAGCGAGTGGCTCTGCCTCTCCGCGTGCACCATGCCTCTGTTGAGCTGCTTCATCACAGTCTCGTAATCGGGGGTTGGGCGGTAAGATGGGGGTATCAGCGCACTGTGCCGATGGGACGGGACATAGTCGGGTCTCATGACGTCACTGCCAGTAATACTGGGGTTAGAGGACATGGGCGAGGGCTGCAGGTAGGGCTGCGGGTTATTTAAGGAGTTAGTGCTGTGTGCGCTGTAGACACTGCCATTCCGGATGCGGCCGTTGAGGTCAATCTGGGCTCGATCCAAGCTTGTCTGAGAGTGACAATAGTATCCGTTCTGATTGGTCACAAAGAGGTTATCTGGGGAAAAACATTTAAAAATTTATTTTAAAATGAGATTTTTTAAAATGTATTACATTGCACTAGTTACTCCAGACAAATATTGAGATAGGTCTTGAATGTCGATGACATTTTCAATGTAGTTGACGAAAATCCATGCTGAAATGACGTGGCTTTCCCCACACAGACTGAGGGACCCTGGGCAGGTCATTTCCTGCAGCCCTGCAGCTCTGCCTCCTCCAAGGACGGTGCTCAGCACCCGGCCCCCAATAAAGATTAGGCAAATCTAAGTCCCATTTTAAGAGTATAGTTGTATCACAAAGCATCATCTTTTTCTGAAAGTCAAAAAAGTGTTTTACAAGAGATGAAACTGACTTCCTGAAACTCTGGGGCACTGGAGGCAGGGACCCCACTGCAGGCATGGGGTCACTGACTCTGCTTTCCCGCCGGTGGGGGCGGGGCCTGTGGGTGCTGAGCTAGTTCAAGCACCAACTGTCTGCGAACACTTGCTTAAATGGAGCTGTAGCTTGCTTGTGCAGGTTCTTCCAGAATGAACATAAAAGAGCACTAGTTCAGCAGAATCTGAGCTTCTCCAGGTCCAACAGTGTCACCAGTAGCTGTCCGCCTCACCAAGGGGCAGAAGCCAAGAAGAACGATGCTAAGACAGCCACCTCCACCCCCAACAGCCCACTCACTTCAGTGAGGCTGAGACCCACAGCTCAGAATCAGGAGCGTAATCTAATCGACAGCAGCTGCATGTGTATGTGTGGACCTGTCCGGGGCAGGGAAGAGGCATCTTCATCCAGCCCATCTGTAGTTTACCTGAAACACTAACAGGTGACTTCTAACGCTTCAAGAAAAGCAACATTCAAGTCCTTCTGAGAACAACCTTTGAAAGGCATTCTTTTTGTGATTCAAAAGCCTCGTGACAACTGATTTTCAAAGTGAATGCACCACAGCCCAGTGTTGGGACTTCACTCTGGTGGCAAAGAGCCACAAAGGAACAGGACTCTAAGGTACCTCCGCCTTCTTCCTGCTGATGCACGATGCTTCCTTGTCCCAGGACTCTTCCCATGCCTGGGACTCTCCCCGTGCCCAGGACACATATGGCCTCGGAGTCAGGAGCCCCTCCTTGTCTCACGGCCGGCAGAGCACAGGCCCTGCTCCAGCCTCTCTGGACTAGCACGCGCGCCCGTGCCTGGCCACCCTGCCTCCATGCTCCTCTGTGTACCCCACAAACCATCCACTTCTGAGCCCAGATTGTAAAACTCTACACTAAGAACTGATGGGGAGAGCTGACTGGAATCCAGTCAAATAAAAGGGCTGGGCTGACAGGTCAGAGAGGCCTTGAGGGTCAGGTGGGGGGGTGGGCACGCCTGTCGGTGGTGGTCGGTGGCCCAGGCCACCCCTCAGTGCACGTGGGATGACGCCTCCTCACCGCCAGAGGTCAGGCACCGCCGCAGGGCTGGCTGTGGCCAAGGGAACGTGAGCAGAGGGCTGACGGCCAGGTCCCGTGCTCCCTTCCCCGTGCCCTTCTGACCAGCCACATTCCAGATGCAAGCAGGGTCCTCCTGCCAGTGCATGGAGGCCAGGGAACTTGAAACCTGAGCAAGGAGTAACCTTGACGGTGTGAGCCACGGAGAGTCTAGAATTGTTTGCTCCCACGGGGCAGCCCTGCCTATCCTGACTGGGCAGAGGCAGGTGGGATGAGGGCATTCTGGGTGACGGAGCTGCAAGGGCGAGCGAGCCCCCTCCTGGAGGGTGTGCTGGGCGAGGCTGCACACCAGGCGGCCGGAGAGGGGGAAAAGGGCCGCGGGAATAAAGTTGGAAACAAAGCGAGAGAACGTCGTGCAGAGCTGAATACCAGGGAAAGGAACGATCGCCAGGGAGCCGAGACGATCCCTTGGCAGCTGCGTATCCGACAAAGCTGGGGGAGTGGCCTTTCAAGATACCAGGTCCTGTGGCACAACCAGTGAGAGGCTCAAAAAGAAGAAACTGAACCAGATTGGGAGCAGAGGGACTGGGAGAAGGAGGAGGTGTTACATGCAGTTAGAGACCATGCAATACCATAGATCCGTAACGTACTGGGTGTTGAGGGAGGAAAAAAAAGGAGAAAAGAAAACTTGCATGCAGTTTGTCATCCAAGTGACCAGGAGAGTGACTTTCATCATAAAGAATATGGAAAAAGGCACTGGCTAGTAGAGTGAAGAGATCAAATTTAATATTTTGATCAATGTCCAGCAAGTTTGTCATAGCTGGTACTGTTTACTGACTGCTTAGCATGAGGCAGGCCCTTGGCTGAGGGCTTTGCATGCCACAGCCCCCTGAACTGCAGGGCCACCCACCAGACACGGCAGTGTGGGGTTGGGGCCCCGGAGGGGGGGAGGAGTGGGAAGTGCAGGTCTGACACCCATCCCTGGTGAAATCTGTGGTGTGGCGGAGCCTGCAAAGGGAGGGAAGGCGGCCAGGGACAGACGGGCGTTGAAGCCATGAGCCACAGTGATGGCGCAGAAGGAGGAGGAAGAGCCCAGCCCACTTAGAGCTTTCAAGAGGGAGAGAACGCTGGAATTTGATGGTAAGGAGGCTGGGTGGGGGGCTGGGGACCGGAGAGGGCAGCCTGAACAGGGTAGCAAAGGCAGGAGGAGTAAACGGGTAACCAAACAGACACAACACACCGGTGTCACTCTCGGAAGAAGGGGGTGAAAAAGAAAAGGAAAAAAAGTCACACCGAAGCTGGAAGAGAGAAGAGAGGGGGAAAAATATTAGGATGTCTGTAGACCCAGGCAAAGGAACGAGTAGGAAAGAAACATTTAACAACGCAAAGAGAAGAGCCTTTTCCCAGGAGTAAGAGGGGTTAGGGTCGCAAAACCAGACAAGGGCAGGGTGCGAGGAGGAGCGGATAGTAAAGGTGAAAAACATCCCGAGATGGACAGTCTCAGAATCTACACCCCAAAACACTGCTCCCCTACTGCCTACCTCACTGCACAGAAACGCGCATCTTCACCAAACAATACAGTCCCTTCGGGTTCCCTCAGGCGTCACTTCCTGCCAGTTCCCTGTGTGAGCTGAATGGACCATTTTACTCTCCAAACACCCTCTTCCTCACTCTGTGAGCAACAATCCCAAGCAGGCACGCACCCCACTCACTACCTGTTGAAACCGACCCATCCTCTGATTCCCAGAAAGCTCTTCTCGAACTCCCCAATGCGAGGAATCTCATTTCCACTGAATGGTACAGAATTGCTTGCTCTCGCTCATCAAAACAACCATGTTCTCTTTGTATTTAAAATATTTGTGAACTTGTCTTATCCCCAACTATTAGAGACTAAGCTTCTTAAGATATGGAATGACTTCTCTGCATGAATCTCATTGGCCTTTAGAGTACATCCTCGCAGACAGAGTAGAGAGTAAATGTTACATGAATACTTGAGATTCAGCTTTGGAAGCACTTTCTTAAATACAGCTCCCTATTCTAATCAAGTACAAAATAAAAATAAAATGTTTAAACTTCTACAATGGGAGGTCTCAGACAGGGAAAAGACAAAATGGACCTGGGACACCTTGTTCCAGAAAACAAAGAAGCACTGGAAGGTGTATGGTGTGTCTTAATAGGACATAGTAGGAACCAGCTTGAAGAAGAGCCAATGAGCCAAATTCGGGATCACGTGAACATCAAATGTAATACATATGATCCAGCCATTCCCTTTTTGGCATTTACCAAAGAAATATGAAAAACACTAATTCATAAAGAAATATCTGCACTTCTATCTTCATTGCAACATTATTTACAATAGCCAAGGCATGGGAACAACCTAACTGTACACTAACAGGGCAATGGATAAAGAACACGTGGTTACACACACACACACACACACACACACACACACACACACACAGAGCGCAGAATACTACTCAGCCATAAAAAGGATGAAATCCTGCCATTTGTGGCACCATGCGTGAATCTTGAGGGTATTATGCTAAGTGAAATAAGTCAGTCGGGAAAGGACAAAGACCATACGATTTCACTCATCTAAGGAATATGAAACAAAAAAGTAACACACAAACTAAAAACATAAGCTCATAGATACAGATAACAGAATGCTGATTTACCCAAGGGGAAAGGGGGTGTGGGGGAAGGCAAAGTAGGTAAAATGGGTCAAATATGTGGCAACCTAAGGAAACTAGACTTTGGGTGGTAGGCATGCATTTGACTACATAGATATCAAATTATAATGTTGTACACATGAAATTTATATAATGTTATTAGCCAAAGTCACCTTGATTTTAATGTAATTTTTAAGAAATTTAATATAGTAGTCACGCCCCTCTTCCCATGGTTTTGCTTCCTACTGTTGGGTTTACCCACAGTCAACCATGGTCCAAGAATATTAAATGGAAAATGCCAGGTATTCTGAGAGAAAGAGAGAGCAGTCACATAACTTTTATTACAGTACATTGTGATAATTGTTCTATTTTAATATTATTGTTAATCTCTTACTGTGCCTAATTTATAAATTCAACTGTACCACAGGTATGTATGTATGAGAGAAGGCACAGTACACGTAGGGTCCGGTACCACCCGCGGTTTCCAGCATCCGCTGGGGGTCCTGGGACGTGTGCCCGGCGGATAGAGGGGGACAGCTGTACTGCGTATTTTCTACCCACGCCCAAGAAACTGAACATAATGGCAGCCTCTTCTACGAGTCTGGCTGGCTGTAATCATGACAATGATTTTGGATGACACTTTAGCAAAAAATCATCCTGGCTCCGAGATTTCCAAATCTTCACACTTTATTCACACTGTGATAGCTTTGCAAGGTGCTTGAGGAACGGTGCGCCTTACCTTGAGAGGAAGTGTACGGTTCTGTGTAATGCCCGTTGTAGTGCAGCTGAGGCGGCGGAGGCATCACGTAGGGCTGAGGTTTAGGCTGAGAAACAGAAAGTTGAAAACAGGGTTAAAACACGTTGACTGTATAGCACGTGGAAAGTAATTTTCTGCGGGCTTCTTTCTTGCCACTAAAAAACTTCAAAAGGAGTCAGAAACATTTTACCTGAGAAGTAAACATAAAGACCCCATAGCTACAGCTGTCATTTTCACTGCTTCCCAGAAAGGCAATGCCAAGCGCTCTATGCCGATGTCAGTCATCAGACAGCACAAGGAAACGTGATGGACACAGATGTCATCAATTCTTACACAAACGTTTGAATATAAGCAGCTTACATGTAGCATAGTTCATCTTAATAGGCACGATGGTCCACTGTTTTAAATATTTACTAACTTCTGATTATGCTTGGCTAATAGCCAAAATTTTAAATAGTAGGTTGGACCTAACATCTAAATATGTATAATGTGTTACATAAATATTGGGCTTAACCTATGGAAAAATCACCATTTCTTTGATCAAAAACAATCACATATTGACATATTTTTGTGGTTCAAACTAAAATGAGCGCTGCCACGAGCCTATTTTAGACGAAAGATGATGCCACTGAAGTAAAAACGGCCGTCGTAGCTTTCCTCCACTCTTACCAGAGACATCCTTGAAGAAGACCTCCTCCTAATCAGGTTCACTGTGACGGTCTGAGTTTGCCTATGAAATAAAACACGTCTTTGAGAAGACCTTAGATATATACATATATATGCTCACACACACATGATCTTCTTAATTCTACCAAAATAAATTAATAAAAAGGTAAAATGACAAATTCTCTACTGCAAAAATATCTAGTAATCTGACCATAAATTTGGGCAAAGGGAGAATCTCTGTCCTCACGTGAGGCCCCTGCCCCTTCCCGCTACCCAAGTCTCTCCGACCACCGAGTCTCCTCACACAGCATCGGTTGCCTGGGTACCAGAAGGGTCAGTGGCAGTAATTTTCCCTGGTCCATTCAGGAGAAGCCACTGCAATACCACAGCTGAGGGGGAAGGAGGCAAGGCCACCCACAAACCCATCCCAGAGGAAGCAAGATGCAGTGCAAATGCATCTGTCCTGTGGGCCTGGATCAGCACAGAGCACCCCATCATCAGTGGCCGGCGGAAAAGCCAGAAGCAACAGGGGCTGCCTTTAATTAAACGTCTGCAAACATAACAAAGAGAAAATTTACAACTTCAATAACTTAAGAAGCTGTATCCCTTCTAAGGAACTACGTTAGGGAAAGCAAAAAAGAAGAAAAATTGGTTTCGTGGGCCTGTGGTAAACCCATTTATTTACCTTTCTTTCAAGAAACCTCTGTCTGATTGGTTTTAAATGCACCTTTTAAAAAACGAGAATATTAAAAAGGGTTGACTGACATTTATCAGATAAGCTGAGTTTAAGCTATTCACAAGTCCCATCTCTGAATAAAATTAGGTCAAAAAGGAACAAGAAACAGAAAAGCCCATTTGTAATTCTATCATTTTTAAACAGAGGCAGGCATTTTTTGTTTTTGTGTGGTCAGTTTTGTCGAAAATAAGATCTAGGAACCTAAATACTGAGGATTCTTGGCTTTGTTGATGACTTACATAATTTTGTCAAAGCACTTGAACAAAACCTCTCACCATCTGTTCCTGGCTCATGAGCTTAGGTGACATGCAATTACTGATCACAAAAATATTTTGTGACCTTTCGTTCTAGTGTTCTAAGGACTAATTTCTAGACAATCCGTGATTATAAACTGAACACTCACTGTGTTTAATCAGCACATTTACCTTAATTTCAAGCCTCGTTGCTCATAAACTAACATTCTTAGAACTCTAACCACTAATATCCTACGTTCAAACCCTGTATATTAGCTTAACATCAAGTGACTACAACCACTTTTACCACATGACTTTTTAAAAATTAAATGCTTTCTTTAATAATTTCCTTTCATAATCTTTGGAATGTAATAAGCTTGATGATGAATAATTTCTTTTTTCCAAAGGACACTCCATTCTGCCAGTATTTACGTTGCTCAGCAATAAAATGGATGCAAATTCTATGACACTACAAAAGTGTCTGGATGTGATTGGTAAAATATTATGTGTACTGGGAAAAGAAGGGAGCCTCCTTAGTGAAACAGGTCAGAAGGGTGTGTCTGGGCTTTTTTTTTTTTTTTTTAACACTCCTTAACTGCATGTTAATATATTCCTAAAATCTGTGTCCAGAATCTGAAGACATTGCATTTTGTAGCCTTGAAATGCACTTGGCCTTTGCTCATTCTCCATCACCAGGGCTAGGTTTAGGCAAACCGGTCCTCTGAAGTTTATATTTAGTCCAGAGACTCACTGAAATGGACTGAACTTTGAAAGTACCATGAATTCAAAACCCAGACATGAGGAGAAGGGATTGCTGATAGAATCCTCCAACACGTCCAGCATTGCCCAGCCTGCAGCACAAATAAACTTAAGCATGTTTAACACAAAGTCCAAGGACACAGAGCTTAGGACACAGGCAGCGACTCCCCCCACACTCTCTCTTTCGGCTCCCTGGCTGGCAACACCCAGGATGCGGGCAGCACTGTGGAGGCTGCTTCTGCTTCCTACCAGTACCCCTTCCTCTTGCCAAATTGCTCGCTGGAGCCAGCCTCACCATCGGTTCTAGTACTCTAACCTCCTCTTCTTGCCACTGTTTTCGTAAATGCAGTTAACTGGGAGGTCAGTTATCCTAAACTTAGTACACAAGAGAAACCGGTGGTACTGCTGCTGGTGTTTTCTAGACTTTGGGGGCAGTTTACAATGCTGATGGGTACTGCTAAAATGAGACAGATGAAGAACTCTTAGGGGGAAAAAAATCACTGGCACGCGTGTGCTGGGGAAGACAAAACAAAAAAAGGCTGCTAGACCAAGTCAAATAAATGACAGCACTTGTTGAAACAGTGCTTTACGTGGAACCCACACCAGCCTTCTGAGGGAGGACGGTTATTATCCTGATTTCACACATGAAGAAACTGATACTTAGATTAAGTAAATTACTCCTGGTCACATGGAAAAGAAGTAGCAGAACCGGCACTTGAAGGAGGCAGGTCTGTCGACTTGCTGAGCACGGCTCCCAGCAATTGATTACTTGTCTGACTCCCCCACCCCAACCCCAGAGATCTGTAAGCTCCATGGAGGCAACAGTGTACGCCTCGGTGTTGCCGGTGCTGGGCACACAGGGGAGCCCTCAGTGTTTGTTCAACAAGTGACACAGTGAGGGAGGTGTAAAGCAATGCTTATTACTAAGCACTTACAGTTGAGCTCGTATTTCTAAGAGTTGTCTGAATTTTGCTTTGCGAGCTTTTTTCATATATTTATGGCTAGTGCAGAGGAATGAGATTTTGATGAACAAAAAAATGTGCTGGATGGTGGAAATGGCTAGAAAATGTTAGTCTCTGTGACTTTCCTCAAATGGAGCAGGGGTTGCGCTACCTTCCCCCAGGTCTCTCACAGTGTCTTCAAACCCTGCAGGGGGCCTCAAAGAGGCAGGGAAACCCCATCCCTGTCCCGAGGCAGGGCCTTCTCCAGCAGTCTACTGATTCCAGAAGTCTCAGACACAGGGGACACTGGCTGCTCTGTTCCCGGACAGAGCCGCAGGGAACACACACCAGCCCTCTCACTGTGCTCAGCAAGCAGCTTGCTGGGGGCTGAAATCCAACTCCCCCCTTAGAGAAAGTCTGCTGGAACTCCATCACTTCGCTCTACAGACTAGGACGTAGCGGTGGGGTTGAGGGTAAGACCATCCTCTACTCCCCTCCTCAGAGGGGGGAGAGAAAAGCCTTCTACATCAAGAACCCTCTCAAGATTCCTCCCCCCCCCCCCCCCCCCGCTTTCCTCCTGTAAATCCTGGAGGCTGATTATAGCTCGGCCAGTCCTGGGGTGGGGGAGGTGGGGGGGTCGTTTAGAAGAAGTCATTCACCTAGAAGACTGACATTATCTTATTTAACTCCTAATCAAACCCTAAGGGGATATTAAGTAAGGCTCTATTAACCCCCATTTAATAAATTAAAAACAAAAAGACTGTTGTTATCTAATATTTTTAAGACTCGAGTGACTTAAGAAGATCCTGTTACCTAAAGTGCCTTGTTTGTAAGGGGAGGGAGCGGGCAAGGCTGATGATGGATCACGTGACTCTTTAAACTCTGAACTAGAGTCCTCTGGGTCAAGAGCAGATGCATCTCATCAGGCCAACCCAACACCATCATGTTATCAACATACAGCAGGTCTGGGCGGTGGTGAAGGGGACGAGGGATGAGGTCTTCCTTTCTCTGCAAACAGAATCCACCTCCTGAGTGACCAGTGGCCCCAGCCTGGACCAGACGTCCAGCGTCCACTGTCCAGCTCCGGCCGGGCCCGCTGCCGTCTCATCAAATGCCTACCAGACTTGAATTTACCCATTTGGACCAGGAGAACAAGTCTGCCGCCACTTTAGAATCACTATAATATTGAAAGTGACTAAACAGTCTGGGTTGAGAACCTTAAAAGAAATGACCATACAAAAATTAAAGTTATTTTCCGTTTTGTTACCTATCAAAAGACTAAAAGCTAAGAATTCATTTACTTCACCTGGGGAACAAGTGTTCCCAATGCAACATTTCCCACAGAATGAAGTGGATATCCACCGTCATAAATAATTACATAGGAATAAAGACTTCATGGAAACGGACTTCTATGGTCTACTGGGTGTACAGAGACTAAAACACAATGTGGCACCAACCAATATGGATGCCTACTGGAAAGGGATTACACTTATGGTTTATCCAAAATGATTGATTCTCCATTATTTCCAGGAAAAGACTGAACTAAAGTAACGATGGCTCAATATTATGAATAGTCTTAAACTTACGAAAGGCTTTAGACTTACGAAAAGGCTGTGTTCCAATAGACTGCATACCTACTCCTTGAATCTCAGAACACACTTCTGCATAAAAATGATGTCGCACACAGCTGGGTGGAAGCAGGGCAGCCCAGGGGAGCCCCAAACGCTGCCCTCCTGGCCTGGCAGCTCCAGTGGATGGAGCCACCAGGAGGAACGCTGCTGTCCATGAATGCACCCAGGGCTTCCTGCCCGACAGCAAGCAGACGCTCCCCACATCCACAGCAAAGCAGGGCTGCTGCTCCGGTCAGTTAGTGCTCTCCAAAACCCCCTCGCAGACCAGCAGAGGGACTCAGATAAAAACATGGTTGGAGGGGCTGCAGGAAGGAGAGGGGGAGACAGGGGGCCTAACTGCTACTCAGTAGATGGTTTGGCCAAATGGACCGCTCCCCCCCCACCCCCCCGCCCTGCCACCCCGGTCATTTCCTTCTCTTTCCTTTCAGGAGTCTCTCTGCGTGTCTGTTCCTGCCCGGAGGTTTTCTTTACACTTGGGTCCCTGCAAAACACAAAGCACTTTCCCAGCCTTTCCTCTTCCTTCCTGGCCCAAAGGGACAAAACATCCTTCTAAGATTTTTTTTTTCCCAATTGACAGTAACAAAAGGAAATCAGCCAGGAGCGAAAGGGCTCTCCTCCCCTGCCATTCCATCGCTGTGTCACCCAGGCCTCCCTCATTCTTGAATCCCCCATACGGGGCCCCTGCTGACCCCAGGCACAGAGACGAACGGGAGGAGAGCGTGCTCTCGGGGAGCTCTGGTGGGCCAGACAGACAAACCATGTCCACCTCGGAGGCGCAGACACGAACTCTCACAGCCTAGCACGTGGCTGACAGCACAGGCTCGCGTCTCCCAGCCCCCAGTGAGTGACCAGTTACGCGGCAGGGCCACAACACCTCACATCTCTAAGTCTCCATACCATTGTCCAGAAAGGGGCAATGGTAACTGTACCAGACAAGGCTACTGTAAAGATTAAAGGAGATAAAAGCTCTCCGCATAATGCTTGACACAGAAAAGCATTTCCTGAATCAGTTATTATTATGAAAGTGGTAGGAAAAAACAGGACTTTGAGAGCGGTCCCGAGGACTAAGCAAAAGAAATGCATGGTGGCGCGAGGCTGGCTGCATTTAAACCAGATCTTGAAGAGTGACGAGTCTGCCAGAAGAGAAGGGCGGGCAGGCCAGCGAAGGCCTGGGGCTGCCGGACGCACTCCCGCTGTGGAGACTGATGGGTCTGGGAGCCAGGATGGAGGCTTGGCGGGGCAGGCGAACCCAGAGGAGGACCACCAGCGTCTGCGGTGGCCCCGTGGCTATGGGAGGGGGAGGAGAAGAACAGGTCTGGTCCTGAGCCGGGACTCTGAGAGTAGAGCTACATCTTTTGCTCACGTAAGATGCAACGGGTGAGGCCAGATGGGAGGCGGCTGCAACGGGCCAGAGGAGAAAGGACGATTTTAAGAAAAGGCTGAGGGGATGGAGTGAAACCAGGTCTCAGCTTAGCTGTCACTTCGCTGGGAAGCCTTTCCTAACCTGAGGGCTCTGGGTTGGGTCCCCTTCTCCTGAGTGCGCCTACAGCGCCACAGACTCCTCACATCAGGGCCCCGAACACTCGTTTCTACACTCATTCAGCTCGCCAAGGCCTGGCTGGGCCAGGCCCTCGCCCAGCACTGGAAATACAGGGAGCGTGTCTGTCCTCGGCGCAGGCGGGAGCTTACCTGCTGGCAGGAGACACAGGCAATGAACAAGTGAACAAATTCAAGTGGCACCAAGTGCACAAGGATAAAGAGAGACAAGGAGCAGGGGGAAGGGGACACGCAGGTGGCCCGGGGCAGCCCCTTGGAAGAGGGGCCCCTCTGATCAGTGAGGGGATGAGGAAGCAAGGCAGGTGTGGGCCCAGGAGGAGAGCATTTCAGGCCGAGGAAGGGACAAGTACAGCGTCCCCAAGGATGTAGCATGTTTACAGGCCAGAAAGGCTCCTAGTGTGGCTGCACAGGGGAAGCAAGGAGGAAGGTAAAGGAAATAAGGTTGGAACCAGTGAACGGTCTCATGACACAGGCCTTGTGCTTTTAAGTACGACCGATGGAGTGAATGCCAAGGCAGGGCTTCAAGGAGAGAGATGGGATCTGCCTCCTGTTGAACCGGGATCAGTCTGGCTACTCATGGAAGAAAGGACGCTTCAGCCACAGGCAGGGCGGACCCAGAGACAGGGACGGTGTCAGAAGGCCACCGCCACGTTCCCGGCGAGAGACCACGGCGGCTGGCACTGGGTTGTCGGCAGAGGAGGTGGTACCAATGCCAGATTTCAAATATATATTATTTTAAATTATTGATTTTGAGAGAAAGAGAGGAAGGGGAGGAGAGAGAATGAGCAAAACATCAATTTGTTGTTCCACTACTTATGCATTTACTCGTTGCTGCTTATACTACGTGTCCCGACCGGGGGGAAGGGGCGGGGCGGGGGGGGACAAGATACATTTTGAAGGCAGAGCAGGCGGAGCTTGCTGATGAATTGGATGTGGGTGAAAGAGAAACAGGAATCTAACAGGAATTAGGCAGGTTTCAGGTTGGTGACTATAGTGCTCCCCTTTGTCAAAATGGGGAATAAGGATAGAGCAAGTTTGGGAGCAGGAAGCAGAGGAGCAAATCAAGAGTTTGGTTTTAGACAAATCAAATTTGAGGTGCCTCTTTGTGGAGACGGAGGATGCCTAAGGCTGTAGGATGTGCAGCGCAGGGCTCGGGGAAGATGAGGCTGGATGTGAAATCAGGTGCCCTTTCAGCACACGGAGGCTATTTTTAAGCCTGAGGCAAGGTGGGTCCCCTGGGGCCCAGTAGATGGAGGCGAGGTCTGAGGACTGAACCAGCGAAGGTGGGCCTAGAGCGGGGGGGGGGGGACAAGGGGGGGCAAGCAGGAGAGGGTGGGGTCCTGGCAGCCAAGGAACAGCAGGGTGCGGGGAGGAAGGGGCAGTCACAGGTTAGGTGCTGCTGAAGGGTCAAGTGAAAGAGGTCCTGAAATGACCACTGGGTGAAGGTCACGGCCACTGGGACAGGCGGTGTCAATGCTGTGGCAGCGCAGGGGAAACGCGATGGAGGAAGGAGGGAAAGCAGGCATACACACGTCTGCTGAGGGAATGTGCTATAAAGGGGAGCAGAGATGGTGTGCTGCGGCCAGAGGGAGCCTTTTAAAATGCGAAATACTAATGGCATGTTTGGGTGCTGATGGGAATGATCCAGCAGAGGCGGGGGAGGGGATCCCATGTGGGCTAAGAAAAATGTACATTAGCGAGAACGGGCATAAATTCTTCTAATGGCTTGAAAAGCAATAATCTTTAATTATATAAAGTGCTGATTAAAAAAGAAAGGCTATTCCTTTTCTAACTTACAAGAATTAGAATAATTCTAGTAAATAATTAAAAGAGATCTTACAGGTGTATCTGTAGTTATTAGAAGTTGGTCCAAAGCCAAAATGAAAAAAACATTGAGAAACATTGTTTTAACATGCAAAAGCAAAGAGTTTATCATAAAAACCCCATGAAAATATAATTTTTCATAAAATTTGTCTTTCTAGATGACACAACACAACTTGAGATGAAAATTTCTAAACTCATCGTTTTCTATAATTTCCACAAGCAGGGTATACTTACAGGCTGCACTGATTGAGTCTGTAAAATTTGTGCCTCGCAACACATAGTCTCCATACGTATTTTGCTGTTTCCATGTCTTCCTAGCAAACAAAACAAGCATAAAATAAATGAAAGCACATTTATAACTTGTTACAGAATTTATCTGAAGACAAGACATAATTGGGTAACATATTATCAAGTCACTTTTAACGCACTGTGATTCTTTCATTTCTAATATTGTGTCTTCATAGGAATGCTATATAGTTAGGTATGAAAACAGAAAAAAGACTATTCTAACAGTATGATTCCTGTATTAAACAGGTTCAATATGACTTAGAAATTTAAAAATTATGAAAATATCAACTTTTATTTGGACAAACAGATAACTCAGACATTTTTAAACAAAACACTTGACTCAGTGACTCAATACTGCCTTTGTCAAGAGAGCAAAAGCAAATAACTGTGAAATAATTTTTCTACAGAGCCACTCAATTATCAATGGAAATTATGATATTAGTGCTTATTTTCTCCCCTACCTAGTCCCTTAAATTTAATTTAAAGACCATCATCCTCAGATAGTATTGATCCTAGGGCTCATTCATTCAGCAATATTTACTGAGCAACTCCCTTTGCCAAATGTACTATTATGATAAAACTACTACTAGGCAAAATGTTATAAAATTTTACAATGTTTTATAAAACTGTAAAATACCATCATTTTAATGTCACGCGCCCCCCCCCCCCCGCCCGCAAACATACACACAGAAATGCTAACTTGTTACCGTGCGGAAAAAACATTCCGTGCAGTCCCTACTGTTTACTCACAGTCTGAAACTGGATGGTCTCCTCTTTATTTGCCAGCTCTAATGCGAAGAAGGACTTATTGTGGGACATGTTAGCAATATCGTGCCACCTACAGAACAACAAACAGGAAATGGCAATGTGAGTGCTCATGTTCACACCAGGAGATGGAATCTAGGACTTCCCTTCTTGAGCTTCGTGCATAAAATAGTATTTGTTGATTATTTTAGAAAGAAAACTTGTTTTAATCAGCTAACACGCATTTTCCAATTGAAATGACAACACCTAGTTGCAAAAAGTAGATGCATGTCTACTAAATAAGGCCAAAGAGTGCTTTTCAAAATGTGGCAAACGAGGGTAAACAGGTTTTGCATTCATCAGATGAAAGATCCCTACATTAGCTGGTTGCCGGTGCCCCCTTTCTTCATTCAACAAACTTGTTCAAGGGCATGCGTTATAACAAGGCTAGAAACTGTGTTAGGTCCCAGGGATAGCAAGATCAGTCAGGCGCGGTGCTTCCTGGGAAGGGGTGCCACTGGAGGGTGAGGGTGAGGGTGGGGGAGAGGAGCACACAAGTACGGCTCAGTTTTGCAGGCTGGATAAGACAAGACCCACAGGGGGAGGCGGGGTGCTCTGACAAGCTTCGGGGTGAGGGTGGAGTTCAAACGCTAGGAACCTAAAGAGTGAACACACAGCTATTCTGGGTGTGCTCACCAGTATTCAAGATCCTATCTTGTACTTTCTAATTGTATTTTATCGTGGTTAGGTTTTATATATTAATATTTGATTTTATTGCATAACTGTATCATTTTATAAAAGAGAAAATGGGTCTGGGAGAAAAAAATTTTACTGTTCTTCATCCTTCTCCATTATATTATTCAAAATTTATTAAAATAAATAAAATTAATTTGCGGTGATTCGGTGTTGAATTGTTCAATCTGAAGATTATCAGCATCATCTTAAAGACAATTTTTGAAATTCCTACCCGTGAGATGGAGGGAGCCAGCCGATGCCTCCAGTTTCCATGGGGCCCTTTGGGCACGGTCAGAGTCCAACCCTTCCGGTGGGGTCCAGATCCGGTTCCCGCCCCCCCACCCCGCAACTCAGGATATTGGGAACACTTAACTAGCACAAAACAGCAATCACCAAAGAGGAGCGACCAGGCCCAGTGCTGTCCAGCCTAGGAAGGGGGCTCTGCTCCCTGAGCCACGTGCACGCGCTATGTCATAATCACCGTGAGACCTCGGGGCCCCAAAATGCAGTAAAGCAAAGAAAATGAAGGAAGAGATGTCAGCTTAGAAAAAAAAAGTCTTGAAAGGAATAACTAGTTCTCAAGAAATAGTAGGGATGGTTTAAAAATCTTAAATGGGCTAGGGGGAAACTTCCTCTTAAAGAGGGGGTAAGGGGAATAAAAGAATCTATTTAATACAGGGATCAATAAATGGTAAACACAAAGGAACCAAAAAACAAAATTGACATAATGTTATTACTACTTTATAAAACAATATAAACTTCTAATTTTTCATCAAGAGATGATAGAATCTAATAGGGAGAATCTCAGTAAAACTGCAAATATTTCTATGAAATGACACTTTAGATTTTAGATTATATGTTTTAAGGAATAAAAAGGGATTGAACAACATGGCCCTATTTACTGTCTTTATGATATAGACTGGAACGCAGAATACTGAAAAGGAAATTTAAGTCACCTGCAGTCTCATTGTTCGGAGTCAGCCACTATCCGCCCACTGCTATACAGCCTTTCTGTTTTCCTTACTACATACCTTCTGATATTCCCACAGCTGAACAGTATCACTTTTTTATAATCAGGAAAAAAGTAAACATTACAAAATGGCACTGAAATTTGCTTAGATGTTGGCATTTTCGGAATTTTGGTACATTAACTAGAGACAGAGAAAGCCCAAGATTTTCCACAAGAAAGAGCCCTAGAAACCAGAGCTCAGATGAAAAGTTCACATCATAACAAAGAACACTTCCACATATTAAGAAAAGAGGCACACATTTTTAAGCATTTCATAAGTCGACCATCACTGAAAATTGTAAGCACTGCTTTCTGCACATTTGGTTCTGAAGAAAGCGGCTCACAAAAAGAACCCCTGCAGCCAGATGCTATGTTATTCCAGGAAGGGCCCATTTCCATTTCCTCATGAGACCTTGGGAGAGACTTAGGAGCAATGTAACTAGCATAGGGAGTAAAAAATGCCACCAACAGGAGCCCCAGAAAGTGCGCAGAAAGGTGCAAGAAAAATACCGAAACATCGCAGGAGGCCTTCCATTCTTGTGCTTCACAAAGATCCCTTCCAGACACGCGCCCACGGCTATGTCGCTGCCTTGGCTGTCCTGCAAGGGAAGGAAACACTCAGGCAGCAGATGCAGAGGACGACACCTATACCTCGTTCCCTAAACTTGCTCTCCAGACATGGAACGTGCAGGTGACTCACAGAATAACTATTCTGAAGGGAAAACCCCAGAAAGTTAGGAATGGATCACCTTGTAAATATGTGTGAGTACGGGAAGAGAAGGACCCCTTAAAGAACTCTTTCAAGAGCTTTCAAAGAACAAACGGCAATACAGGAATGTTCTACCTCAAAATTTTGGCCACGAGGAATTTAAATGTCAATTTCTCAGCTTTCACCTGCGCACAGCAGGCCGCCGCGGGCTGTGCCGCCGCGCCCCGCAGAGGTGCTGAGGCGGCGTTGGGAGGGCGCAGGCCTTGGCGCCCCACTCACCTTCGCAGGGTAGCTCTCTTCCCCGTAGCCTTCCATCCTCTCCACCTCCTGCATGTACAGCATTTCAGCATCAGGAGCTGGGAGTCCTCTGCAACCCAAAGGAAGTTAGTGAGATCAGTCACCAAACTAAAAACAAAAACAACAACAAAAAGAAGCTTTTCTAAAGCGCTACATATGAATCTGGCATCAAACACTATACACATTTCAAGTTTCTAAGCTTCTGTCATTGCTTATATCAATCCACCAATATTGACCGAGAACTGACTTCATGCAAAGCACGGCGCGGGGCTCACTGAGGTTTAGTTACGGGAGGTCCCGCCCCTTGCACTTTAGGCAGGCAAGGGGAACGCAGGGAATCAGCCAACCCCCTGAAATATCTTTGGTAAAAGCTAAGATTCTCTCTAAATCACTGAGTAACTGCTTATTATCCAAAGAATCAGGCAATAGTAAGCATCATGTGCTAAATGCCAAATGATAAAAGTGCAGGAAACAATGAGTTAGGAGGATGGAAATCCTTTTTAGCTCCGGTGACAGAATTGCAAGGATGGGTAGGAAGGTGGTGTGGGTGGAGAAAGTGCTCAACTGCATGGAAACTTGCCTCTCCAGCCTCATCTTCCGCTGCTCCCCCACACCCACAGGACACCCCACACCGCGGCCCTCCCAAGCTCTGCATTTCTTTGCGTGCACCATGTTCCCTCATGCCTCTGGGCCTTTGCACACACTAACCCTTCTTCCTGGTCTACCTGTCACTCACCTCTGCACCTGGTCAATCCCTAATATCCTTCAAGACTTCGCCTATGTATCTCTCACTCCTTCTCTGTCACTTGCTGTGATCCCCCTGAGCCTAAGTCGGATGCGCCTGCTCTGCGCAGACCTACCACATTCTGTGCACGTTTCTCCCACTGCTCCCATATTCTATTCTTGGCGTGATAATTACCACCACAGCCGGCTGTCCTGCCTGCCCCTTAGACTGCATGGCAGGAAGCACATTCTCGGATGGCAGGGGATTTTATTCCATTTATCTCTGCGCCACTGCATCCAGCACTCCACTTCACAGGGAATAATTGTCGTAAACTACCTTGTAAGGGGATGCACAATTAAATGAATGAAAGTAACAAAAGACGAGGCGATGTGTGCCCGAGGGATTAATTGTGCCGGGAAAACATGGTTCTTTTGGGACAGTAGAAGGTAAAGCTGGAAAGGCAGGATAAAACCATTCATAGGAGGCCTTGAATCCCCGGGGTAGTGAACTCAGGCTAGTGAACTTAGGCTAGTGAAGAGCAAGAAAAGATTCATGAGTATTTGAGAAGGGGGGAAGGGTAGATAAGAGGAAAGTGATGTTTTAGAAGATTAATCCTTTGTGAGCAAGTGTATGGACTTGAGTGGAGAGAGACTAAAGGCAAAAGGTTATTTTTAATGGGAGGGGATGAACAATAAGTTATAATTGGACAGACCTGGGTTCAAATCCCACTTCTACCACATGTAACTTTGGGCAAGTTATTTAGTCTTTTTGAGCTTGGCTTCCCCAATCTGTAAGGAGATAATAACATTTACCTTAAAGAATGGTTATAAGAATTTAATGATACACCAAGTACTTGGAACTGTGTGGTATTTGGTTTAGAATAAGACCTAGAATTCTCTAGGAGAGGATTTTTCTAAAGGACAAGTACAGATTCCCACTCAAAGAAAGTCATGCAGTAAGCACTACAGCTCTTAGCACAGACAGCTTCCCCAGAAGACAGAGATGGAGCTTCCAAAGGTGTACAAGGAGGGGAAAACCCTGCACTTGCTGCATCGCAAAACAAAACACGTCTCTCCAATCTCGAATTCACCTGCAAAGGACTAGATGAGCGCCCAGACCTTTAACATAGGGGGTGGCGAGTGGGCGCCCTTCAAGGACTGGCTGCTTTCAATGTTCTCAGCTTCCTCACTGGATAATAAATGAGCTAATGCGGGTAAGTGCTTGGACCAGCACTTGGCACAGAATGAGCACCACGAAAATGCCGGCGGCTCACAGCAGCGGCAGTGGTTGGAGCAGCAGTCGTCAGTGCCAAAGTTAATTGTGTCAATGCTCATTTCAAGTTCAAATGGGCAGGAGTTCTACACTCCTGCCGTTCCTCATTTTCGTAGCGTTACCTGTATTTCTGATGCAGTAAAGCCACCTTTTGGGTTGCTTCTTCCAATACTTTTTCATCTTGTAACCACCCCTGAAGAAAACAAACTGCAGTAAGTATATAAACAGGTCGCCCCAAATTTCCTGGGAACAATCATTGCTCCGGACTAACCGACTTGCATCACCATGAGGCAAAAGTAGGACCGGTATAAATATGAGGGAGTTTTGCTTAAGTACGTAATCATGATCTTTCTAAGGAATTAAGTGGTTTCTGCCCAGGAGCCAAACACTTGCCCTGCCTTCTCAATTTATCCCAGAGAAAGTTTCAGCTGGGTTATTTCAGGATGGTAAAATCCAACAGCCGGTTTCGAACCCAGCACAACAATGGCATCTGTGCATCCCTGGCTGGCTGTGCAGACAGAACAGCATAGTTGTTCCAGTGCACAGTGTTCCTGTCAAGTCCATCAGCAGCAACTATAAAAAAGTAGAAGGCATCAACTTTTTGTCATCTACTTTGTAAACTGCTGATGAGAAGCCAAGTGTATTTCAACATAATTTTGTGAGGTTTCAAGCCTTTGGTTAAAAGCAAAACCTCTGCGTGCTTCCTCAGAAGCTGGAATTGAATCCTCTTCTTTAGACCCACATCCAAACATAAGACACATTTCTCTGGCTACAGCCCAGTGACTGCAGACCCTTCAGTTTCTGTGGGTTTACCATGACCAAGGAAAGTATAACAGGAAAAGTATTTATATTTGAGTTGTTCATAAGAGGGAACTGGTTTTTTAACACTATTCCTGCGTAGGAAGTCTACCATATGGACTTCGCTTCAGGGATTATTAAGGGTATGGAAATAAACTGCTTACAAAAAGGCCCAGTGTCAAAGGGAGTCTTACCACAGGAAATAAGGCAAATTTCTGAAGGAAGTCCTGGGATTCATACTGATCAAAGTCACCAAAATCAGCTATACAAAATGACAAACATTCACATGTCAATTATGTTTAATTGAATAGCAAAACATGCACAACTAAATTCAATATGCAGTATATAGATGGTGTGCTTAGAATTCAGAAGTCAAATCTGCCTTACAACTATAAAGTGTATGTCTAAAAAATATCCTTTTTAAATGTTAGGTAGATTCCTGTGTCTTGCCTAGGAAAAATGCCTATTAATAAAGTGAAAAATAAGTTACAAACTATATATCATATGATCTCTTTTTACAATTAAAAAACAAACAAAACTACCTTACTTGTGCACAGAAAAATGTCAGGAAGAAACCAAAGTGTCCATAGTAGTGACTACCTTTAGGGAACAGAATCAGATCATGTGAATACGTTTACAGCAAGATGTACTTGCTTAGAAATTTTTAGTTGTTAAAATGAACTGATAGTTTTTTCATAAACTTGATAGTTGTTGAACTCACTCTTAAAACCAAAGATGACATTTAAGAAGATTCAAAGTACCTAGAATGGGAATGTGGTTCCATATGTATTAGGCATTTGTTTGTCTAGAAATGATAAATGTTTCCAGGCCTGCTACTAGCTGAAGGATTCTTATTAATAATTCTTCTGATTAAATTTTGATCCCCAAGATTAAACACCAGATATCATTTGAAATAATGTCCCATGAGAAGTCTTCCCAAAGTACGTGTGTGTGTGTGTGTGTGTGTGTGTGTGTGTGTGTATCCATATAAATGCATATAGATTGGACATGTGAAAAATGACAGAATTAAACAATTCAAAAAAATACTCATGAAATGCAAAACTTCATCTAATATGACTGATGATGCTTTACAATCCAAAGCAACTGTTTAAGTAACCAAACAGCCCTGGCTGGTGTGGCTCCATGGATTGAGCGCCAGCCTGCGACCTAAAGGGTCACTGGTTCGATTTCCAGTCAGGGCAGATGCCTGGGTTGCGGGCCAGGTTCCCAGTGAGGGGCACACGAGAGGCAACTACACATTAATGTTTTTCTCCCTCTCTTCATCCCTCCCTTCCCCTCTGTCTAAAAATAAATAAAATAAAAAATCTTTAAAAAAACAAACAAATGATAAATGCCTAAAATGTAAGTAACCATAACCTAATCAACCTCATTGTTTGATCTTCCTAAAATATACCTAGCAGCAGATCCTTGAACTAGAGAAATACATAGCATGTTAAATGCTGTGTGTCAGCGGGTGGGGATTTCTCTATTTTTGGTCTGTTTCTCTTTGGACATATGATAACATGCTTATCCTTCCAAAAGTCTCATTTCATTGAATCCAGATTCATTTTTCCCACAAGGAAGCCCCTTAGATAACAGAATAATATTTCACTAATATGTTAACACTACTACAGAAAGTCAGTTACTTTAAGAATCCCTTGCTGTTTTCATTAAAACAGTTTTAATCTGGTAGCTCTATTACATTATCAATTGTCATTATTTACCTTGAACAGCTAAGCCTGCTAGCTGAATTGCTTGTTCTAATGTACAAGGAATGTTTCCTTCCAAGATATCTTTCTTCAGCTGCAGATAATACTGATACCTATAAAAAAAAAAGTCAATTTAAAAAAGTCAATATCAACATTATCTCCAATTGAGACAATGCATTTTACCATAATTTGGTGGAAGAGCATAAACTAGTCAAATAAAACTTAACCCAAGATGGTTTCAAAGAATGACATAAACAGTTTTGACCATATATACCCCCCCCCACACACAATGTAATCAATTTATCCTGAACTGTAGGGGTTTCAAAGCTATAACCATGTAGGAGACAACCGATCATCTGTCTTATGCCCCAGAAGACAGTCCCTACGTACTGTCCTTGTTAGTTAGAGAAAGACAGACTCAATGGCCAACCTTTACTTTAGGAACTCTGACTAGTAACTTGGTAACTTGAGACTTTGCTTACTCTGGTGGAAGTTCCCTAGCCCTGGAAAATAAAGCCAGAAGAAGATGGTTCCTGATATTTCAGACCAGGCTTACATTAAAATATTTTTGGATGAAATCCCAAAAGGAATAGCTGCTAATTGCTTTCTTAGCATTCTTGTAGAATGAGATGGCTTCTTTTTACATTTTCAAAGTGCAGGGCAGCACTTAGTAGCACAAGCTTCGGTAAAGCAGACCGAGCATCAACCCCAGCTCTCCAATTTAGCATTCTGCATGGATTTGAGCAAGTCATAATCTATGGGTTTAAATTGTCACCAGAAAAATGGGGATGTTATCATTCCTTCCCAAGGTTGAACATATTCAAGGAATACAATTTACAGCTTTTAGCACAATGCTAGAACATAGCTGGCACTCAGTAAACCATGTTTTCATTATTATCAGTGGTCATCTTCTTTAAGACAGTCACCAGAATTTCATCTTATCACTTTTCCATTTGGATAAATCTACAGTAGAGATTTATTCTGCCTTCCATGTATTTACTCACTTCACAGGTGATACTAGGAGCTACTACACAGCCAGCATTGCCCTAGATGATGGGAAAATGATGTGAAATGAAGACATACGAACTGTCTGCCAACACAGTCTAGAGCTATAATGCCTTAAGGAAATGTAACATGCAAAGCTGAATTCAAAACTGTTTAAACCAAGGCATAAAAGAGGCTGTACACGTTACTTCTAAAGTTAGCTTTCTATAAACTTGCCCAAAAGCCAAATATGCTGATTAAAACTAAATAAAAACAGTCTAAAGCTTTCTCAACTTATCAATTTTCTAATATAAAAGAGCTTTACACAAAAAATTACATTAAATAATATAGTGTATGAGGTACCCCATTTTGCACAACAGAAATTTTAAATACTATGCAATGAGGTAGTCTTCACCTGTTTTTCTTAGATTAGTAAGAGAAGGCTCGTGTATAGGCATTTTTATTTTTATTTTTTTAAGTTTTAGTATAGAAATTTTGAAACAGATACACAGAAAGAAGTACAAAGAGCCCCCATAGCCTTATCATGAGGCCTCACCAATCACCAACTTTATGTCTAACGTGCTTCCTCTCTCCTCTCCCCTTCCCCACCCCCGAGTGTTTTACAGTAAATCCCAGATATATCATAGCACCTACAAATACTTCAGCATATATCTCTAAAAGGTAAGCTTAAACACACACACACACACACACACACCCTTTAACATACCCAACAAAATGACTGAGAATGTCTTAACACTATCCACACCCAGTCCGGGTACTATTTTTTGTGAATGCATCAAAATGTATTTTTAGTTTGTTTTTTTTTTTTTAAATCACGATCCAAACAAGGTCCACAGACTACATTTGACTGTTATTTCTAAATTTCTCTTAATTTAAAAAAAAGATGCCTCCTCTTTATTTTCATGTTACTTATAGTCAAAATGATGTGATTTTTCATGTAGAGCTTTCCCCATTCTCAATGTGTCTCATTGTGCTCTCATGGGGTCATGTGCTAGGTTCATCTATTCTCCAATTTTTCCTATGAGCCAACTGTTAGATATGGAGCAGCGCTGTCTAACAGAACTTCCTGCTAGTGGTGACAATGCTGTATGTCTGTGCTGTCCCACAGAGGAGCCATTAGCTGCCTGTGGCAACTGAGTACTTAAAACACTGTGGGTTTGACTGAAGAATTGGGAAAGGCCCCTTAAAGGAACATGACTTAGCTGAGAGTAGAACGGCCTGGAATATGAATGCAACAGCTACAACATCTCTAGAATTCTTTGACTCTGAGGTTACCCAGTCAGTAGAAAGAAAACACTGAGGATGGTGCAACAGTAAGAGAGAAAGAGCAGTCTTTGAAGACTTTGTGGAGCTACCATATAACCTCTGCATGGCTGACCTCTGGACTTCTTTTATGGGAGAAGTCAAAGGTATTTAGGGTTTTGTTATATACAGCCATACATAATCCTTACTGATACAACTTATCTATCCGGTTCTCTTGCACCTAATCAACGTGCATTCCTACTGGTTGAATCTACCAGTCCTATTCCCTCTCAGCCCTTCCCTCGGCTAATGCCTTTGTGCAGGTCCACCTTCTACACTAACGCCTGGGCTATGGCACGCACATTCATAACTGGGCTCCTGCCTACAGTCTCACCACCTCCAATCTACCTTCAGTGGCAGGTGCTCTTTGTAAAATGCAAATATCATCATTCCATTTCTGCTAAACTTCAAAAATGTTTTCCTCATTGTCCCATGACTTTATGACTAAAACACTCCCATTTTTCAAATCTTCTCTCCCCTCTCTAGGCAATATCTGAAATGCCCTGAAATCATCAGTCCTCCTACCTAGCACGAGCTATTCCCTCTAACTAGAAAATTTCTTCTAAAGTACTTGACACGTCAACTTCTTTACTTTCCCTGTTCATGCTCCCCACACCCAACCCCTAGGAATCCAGTGCTTTAATTAAAGCATTTACTGTCATAATATCCCATCAGCGTTTATTTACATGGACTGTCGCTTTCAGACTACAAGCAACTCCTCCAGGGAAGGATCAAAGCATATTCACATGTATATTTATCTCCCGCTGTAACCAACATAGTTCTTACACCATACCACACTATGTCTTCAATCAATGTTTAAGTAAATGAGTCAACGTGATCAGTTGCTGCTTTTTTCCTCCTGGCTTCTCTTCTCTCTTTAATATTTACGTCTCAGATCTGTTTTATGGTCAGTGCCTATTGATCCCTACTGCCTGATTTTTGCTGCTTTGGTGTTCCACCTTCTGCCAGTAATGAACTGGCAAACTCAGAACTCAAAGAGAACATTCCACAAACATGAGGCAGTGCCAGGTTCTTACTGTCTGTGGGCAGTGGGTGAGGTATTATGAGAAAGGTAAAGCTAAAGGAAATGTGGGTTTAAAGTCATTTAAAAATTATAAGATATGTACGCAAATAATTTAATGAAAGGCTGTGACAACTGCCATCTTATCACAAGTACAAGCAAATCCTAGGGCAGCCAGGAGAAGCAAAGCTCATTTCAGCCGGGGGCAGGGGGAGCGTGGTGGTCACAGAAGCATTGTGGAGGAGGTGCCTTTTGAATGAAAATTCAGAAGATGACTAGGATCCCAGTACACAAATATGACAGAACTATCTAGGCCACAAAGATAAAAAGGCATGAGGCATGTTCAGGGCACTGGAAGTTGTCCAGCTTGACTCAAAAGTAATGTTAAACAGGGTTAAAAAGATAAGTTCCTGGAGGGTTTCAAAGTACTTTGGCAGGTAGGCTCGAGAACCCAAATTTCATTCCATGTTTTTTGGTTTATCTTCAAAAAAAAGAAAAAGAATATTTAATCCTCTATTCCACCCCTTAATGTGGTCTTCCTGTTCTGCCCTTTTGTCCCTTTTAAGTGTACTTATTAGCTAAAATTTTCTGACTTTAAACACCTCCCGCCTCTCCTTCTCCCCCTCCCACGCGGCTACCAACAGTCTAGTGACTGGAGCCAAAGGACTAGAAGAGCCCTGTGGCACATTTTCTTGAAGAATGAACACAGATTCTGTGATTAACATTTTTTTTTTTTTATTTTCCTCTCTCGTTTCATTGCTAGAAAGCTTAGAAACAAATCAACAAAAGCATGAAAGGTGACTTCACTACCAGAGGAGTTCACAGCCAAGGTAAAAACATGCTCCCCCTTAACCATTCCTTCGCGCTTAATGAGCCCATCACTTACGCCACATGCAATGAAGCATTCTGACAGACCGCATACCAGAACCTCGGAGTAACAGTGTGGCTAAAAATGCGGGGCGAGGGGGCAAAGTGCAGTCTTATCTCCTGACTTCAACCTTAGTTTCACTTTTTTAATCTCACCAGATTATTTCCTGGTATTTCTCACCTGGTAATCTCCTGCTGCAGCTGTGAGACTGAAGGCACATAAAACACCACTCCGAGATAGACAGTAGGTTCCAAGGCGTATTTATCCAGCTGCTTCTTCAGAGGTTTTTCTAAATCTACCCACCGGCGCTGGTTTTGCTTGTTGTAGTACCAGAGGCTGAAGTAAGTGATCTGGAAAGAGGAAAAGTCACTGAAGGAGGCAGAAATGTACAAAAGGGTTTCCATACTTGAACTGCTCTCATCTGTGACCTGGGACCAAGGGACTGCAGTCTCCTATTGTTTCCCTTCTCAGAAAGGGACAATGGCAAAACCTGAACAAGAAAAAAAAAAAAGGCGTCAAGACCTATCTATGTCTAGATGCTACTCATGTGCAGGAAAAAGAGGCGAAAGTCAATAACTTTTGCAGACTATTTCTTAAACTCTCCACAAAAAAAGTTTCTTTGTGGCATGGACATCAGAATGCAGTGGGTGCAAGGAAATTTTACATACAGTTTTTAACAAAAACTACATACTGAAAAAACATTTAGTTTCCAAATTATTGAAATTCTAAATGTATTATAATTAATGTTATAATAAATAAACCTGGGTTCTACCTAATAGAACTCTGAATAGTGTTCACCCAACCTTTCACTACTCCAAAAGTTGGCTTCTACAAGTACATAAATTCATGTAAATATGGTAAATTCTAGTAATACTAGTGCACTAGCAAAACTGCAACTCCTCTTTGCCTCCAAAAGCTCATTAGATACTAACTTAAAGCAACTGTAATGTTATGGAGGTAAATTCTCTCCCCTGCCCCACACACATCGGCGTGCACACACACGACAATACCTAAAGCAGTAAAATAACTTAAGTGTATTACTCGGAGGTTTTTTAAAAATGCCCAGACATTTAGATTTCACTTGCTGTGTAATGAAACTGTTGAGGTAAATCAATACTGACCCTGAGCTTGGTCAACCTGAAAGGGCATTAATGCACTTAAGAACTGAAATGATAGCCCCGAGCTACTGCTAATATTTACTTCCTTCTAAAGCAATTTACAGTCAAGGTAATTGCAAACATCACTGCTTTGTTCTAGAGCCAGGGGTGTCCAACCCATGGCCCACTGGCCGCATGTCGCCCAGGATGGCTATCAATGCAGCCCAACACAAAATTGTAAATTTACCTAAAACCTTTTTTTTTGCTCAACAGTTTTTGTTACTATGTGTGTATTTAATGTGTGGCTCAAGACAACACCTCTTCTTCCAGTGTGGCCCAGAGACACAAAAAGGTGGGACACTCTTGTAACCAGCTAGACTCTACAGCAACACTATCCAGTAGAGCTTTCTATGATGATGAAAATATTCTGTAGCTACACTCTCCGGTATAGCAGCCACTAGCCACAGGCAGCTATTCAACACTTGGAATGTGGCTAGTGGAGCTGAGGAACTGAATTTTTAGTGTTATTAATATTTTTGTGCAGAAGGTACTTTTTTAAATCTTATTTTTCAAGAGCATTTATGAAAACCCATAGTTAACATCATACTCAATAGTGAAAGACTGAAAGCTTTCCCCCTAAGATCAGGAACAAGACAAGTATGCTATTCAACACTGTACTGCAAATTCTAGGCAGGTAAGAAAATGAAATAAAGGGATCCAAACTGGAAAGAAAGAAGTAAAACTATCTCTATACACAAAAGACATGATCCTATACATATTTTCAAAATCCTGAAGATGCTCTCTTCAATACAAAACTATCAAAACTAATAAATTCAGCAAAATTGCAGTGTATAAGATCAACATGCAAAGAGCAATATGGATTCTATAGACCAGGAATGAAAATTTCACAAAGAAAATTAAGAAAATAATTCTATTTATAATAGCATCCAAAAGTATAAACATCTAGAAATAAGTTTAACCAAAGAAGCAAAAAGTCTTCTATACTGAACAATATAAAACACTACTTAAAGAAATTAAATGGAAAGATATACCATGTACATGGATTGAACACTTAATATTGCCAAGATGGCAAGACTTCCCAAAGTGATCTACAGATTCAAATGCAATCCCTATCAAAATTCCAATAGCCATTGTCACAGAAATGGAAAAGCCAATTCTCAAATGTGTATGGAATTGTAAGGGGCCCTGAATAGCCAAAACAATATTGAAAAATAACAAAGTTGGAGGACTCACCTTTCTTTTAAAACTTACTACAAAGCTACCTTAATCAAAACTGCAAGTTACTGGTCTATGGAGAGACATAAAAACCAAAGTTACAGGATGGAGTCCAGAAATGACGCCACACATCTATGGTTAACTGACTGTAAACAATATTGCCAAGACAATTCAATGGAGAAAGAATAGTCTCTCCAACAAATTGTTTTAGAACAACTGAAGTTAGACCCCTACACTTCACACCAAATATAAAAAGCAACTCAGTGTGATTCAGCTGGTTGGAGCATCACCCCATGCAACACAGAGATGGGGGTTTGATTCCCAGTGAGGGCACATGCCTAGGTTGCAGGTTCTATACCCACCCCAGCTGGGGCTTTTACGGGGGGCAATTGATCAATGTTTGTTCTCTCACTTGCTCTCTATCTCCCCCTCCCAAAATCAATAAACATATTTTTTTAATTTTTAAAATACCTCAAATTGGATCAACAACCTAAATATAAGAACTATAAATGCTTTAGAAGAAAAAATATAGAGGTAAATCTTTATGACCTTGAATTTGGAAATGGATTCTTAGATATGACACCAAAAGCTTGAGCAACTAAGGAAAAATAAATACATTTCACTTCACCAAAATTAAAAACCGTGTGCATCCAAGGACAAAATCAAGAAAGTAAAAAGGCAAATTATACAGAATAGGAGAAAATATTTGCAAATCATATATCTAGTATCTAGGTTATATAAAGACTCTTACACAACAAAAAGACAACTCAATTTTTAGAAGGACAAAGGACTTGAATAGATATTTATCCAAGGAACATATACAAATAGCCAGCGAGCCCATGAAACAGGCTTCACATCATCAGTCATTAGGCAAATGCATCTCAGAACCACAATGAGATACCACTCTACACGCATTACATTGTGAAGAAATTGAAACCCTCATACTTTGCCAGGAGGGATGTAAAATGGTTCAGCCACAGTGGAAAACAATTTGACAGTTCCTCAAAAGTTAAACATACAATTACTATATGACCCAGCAATTCCAATCTTAGATACATACCCCAAAAAGCTGAAAATAGGTACTCAAAAACAAGCATAAGCATGCCCATAGCAGGACTATTTGCAATAGCCAGAAGATGGAAACTGCTCAAGTGTCCATCAGCAGATGAAAGGATCAACAAATCGTGGAATATGCATACAATGGAATATTATTTGGCCATAAAAAAAGCAGCACTGTATATACTACAAAGTAGATGACTTGCAAAAACATTATACTGGGAGAAGAAAGCCAGATATAAAAGGTCACATATTATATCATTCAATTTAAACAAAATACCCAGAATAGATAAATCCGGAGCAACAGAAAGCAGACTGATGGTTGCTGGGGGATGGGAACATGGGGAGTAACTGCTTAATGGGCACAGGGTTTCCTTTTAGGGTAATGAAAATGTTTGGGAACTAGGTAGAGGACGTATTGTGAATAGACTAAATCATGGAATGGTTTACTTTAAAATGGTTAATTTTCTGTTATGTGAATTTCATCCTAAAAGAAGACTTTTTTTAAAGAATCAAAAACACTCAATTAAAATCAAGTACAAAATTTTAAAGTTTTATTTTTAAAAATTTAAATAGATCAAATTCAGTTTTTTTAAAACAGTCTGGGGGGGGGGGGATGAGCCCGAAATAGATGAGCCTAACCATGAGTTAATTGTATTTTCTACTTCCTAATATCTATAGTTAGATCTCCCTTTATTTAAAGTTAATATACACCAGGAACTTGTTTTGATATACAAAACCCTTGGGACAGACAGGCCCCCTGTGTGCCTTAAATTTCAACTATTACCAGTCATTACTTGGTCTGATAGTTTCCCAGAGTCATGTGCCTTCTCTTCCGGATCTTCTGGGTTATGCGTGTCCTGTATTGTTTATGGGCTTCATTTAACTGTAGTAAAACTTTTCCCATGAACCAGCCTTTAATTATTGACTTTCAGATGATGCCTCCCACCACTCCTTCTTCAACCTCCCCGTACCTTTCCTAATAAGAATCCACATGGCTCCACTTTCTCCACAGCTCTGTCTACGCTTCCTGGTGACCAAAGCAAGCTGACTTGACCTTTGAGACCTGCAACAGAAGCCTCTCAATTACTGAAACCTCCTGCATCCCCTAGAGCCATTCTCAACTACCACTCAATAGATTTTTGTGAAACTTCTTCATGATCAGATACTTTGACATTGTTTCTTTCCTATTTTGTTCTGAGCAAACGTATCAGTAGTTTCACTAGAGTTATTCAATGATTTCTTTATAGCTACTTAAAATTTTACTAGCTACTCTCCTAAAATTGTACAGATAACTATGCCTGCTAAGTAAACTACAGCAAAAACAAAAGTTACACAGTTGCAAAACTTGGCTTCTTTACAGACACAATATGGTTGACTTACTTTAAAGGAACCAACATTTACTCAGAGAACAAAGTGATTTGATAACTAAGCTTTTAGTACTGAGAAAAAGGTAGTTAAAAATCTTTGAGCTTCTGTAAAAGGTGTGTCCCACATCACAGTCCTCTAAAGGGATACCAACTATTATAAGCAGGTCCAAATCCTTTCAGAATGTAAACCCTTTCCTAAGTCCCAAGTCATTTCTTGTCTAATTATTTTAAGAGTCTTTTCAGTTGTACTATTTTTAATGCAGAGCAGAAGGACACACAAATTAGCTGGAGGTTTTTTAAGCCACTGAGTTTGATAAAAGTTAATCCCATATAAAATTGCAACTATAATTTTATCCTGATGCTTTTCTTAGACTAGGCAGAAGTCAGAAGACATTTCATCAGGAAAGAGACAAGAGGAGATAGCACCAGATGAAGCCTATCCCAGGCAGAGATCATCTAACAAGGGTGGTTAACAAGTGTTAACCTAATTCAAGCCCAGAGCTTCCTCTGCACTGAGTCTGCCATAAATAATGAAGCATTGTACTGCTTCCTTCTGACAGATAGTATGGTGGTCACATTGCCTCAAAGAGG